CTCGGAGGTGCCGGAGGGCGGAATGGACGGACCCCCCTCGGGACGTCCACGGGTGGCCAGCAGGGTGTCCAGACGGATGGACATATCGACCAACTGGTCGAAGGTGAGATTGGTATCCCTGCAGGCCAACTCACGTTGAACGTCCTCCCGTAGGCTACATCGAAAATGGTCGATGAGGGCCCGTTCACTCCACCCTGCGTCCGCCGCTAGAGTCCGGAATTCCAGCGCAAACGCCTGTGCGCTCCTCCTCCCCTGTCTCAGGTGGACTAGACGCTCCCCCGCCGCTTTGCCCTCAGGTGGATGGTTGAACACGGCCTTGAAGCGACGGGAGAACTCGGCGTAGGAGATGGTGGTGGCGTCCATCTTCCTCCACTCGGCGTTGGCCCATTCCAACGCCTTGCCCGTGAGACAGGAGATGAGGGCGGAAACGCTCTCGTGTCCCGAGGGCACCGGGTGTACAGTGGCCAGGTAGAGCTCCACCTGCAGGAGGAACCCCTGACACCTGGCAGCTGTTCCATCATACGCCCTCGGGAGCGAGAGCCGAATCCCCCTGGGTTCCGGACCTGGGACTGGTGGACCGGCCGATGGGGTTGGCAGGGTAGGTGGAGGTGTGGGTACCCCTCTGGCCTCCCATCGGTGCAGGGTGTTGATGACGTCCTGTAGAGCGGTCCCCAGTTGTCGTATCTGGTCATCCTGGCCGCGGACATGCTACTCGAGCGACTCAGGCGTGACTGTTGATCCTGCTGATTCCATTCAATTGGTGTGTGATTCTGTTAGGGGGTGCTGAAGGTGGGTGTGGTGCAGGAATCAAGCGCAGGACGCAGAAGCTCAGTCCAAAAGACTTTAGTGAAATATTCACGTAGTAAATGAGCACAATAAGCCCGGAGGCGAAATAACGGCGCACACAGGCGTCAAACAAACGGCGCACTAACATGTGCGAAAACCTCTCCAAAACACTGGAGGGAAGTACGTAGCTCAAACACCAAAACAGAAGAGCAATCACACACAAACACAGACACACACAACGAGAACTAAATAGGACACTAACGAGGACTAACTAGACACAGGTGTACAACATCAAGACAAAACCAAACGAACATGAAACATAGATCGGTGGCAGCTAGTACTCCGGGGACGACGACCGCCGAAGCCTGCCCGAACCAGGAGGAGGAGCAGCCTCGGCCGAAACCGTGACACTGGTGATGTCACCAGGCAGGCCAAAACTCCATCCCACCAAAACAGACTGAAATTTCAGGTGGTCTTTTCAAAGAGCTCTTACACTAAAAAGGCATTATCATCATTTTCACAATTTCACAGTACTGTATTATTCCAAACAGATAGTGTGGAAATAGATATAAAAAACATGAAAATTACATTTTTGACTGCAAATGATCATGAAGAAGAAAGTTCACAAAACGTTTCTCACCATCAAATTGCCAGACAGTAGGTTAACCAACCATCTGACTTAGATACTCTTTCTTTCTGTCTGTCTGTGTGTGTGTCATTCATTTAATTCCTGTCTTTACTCATATCCTCTTATTTCACTGCCCTATTCTCTCTCTCTCTCTTTAAGCATTTATCTTTTTCCATTGTTAACAGGATACGAGTCTCAGCACAGACAGCGCAGCCAAAAGGCTGAAACGTTGGAACATCTGGACCTAATGGAAAAAGGGTTCTGCAGACACAGAGAGGAGGAGATACAGAGAGGAGTGATGATCAGACAGAGAATGCAGAAGGACAGTTATGGTAAAAAGCGGAAGGATATCAGTTCAAACGAACAGAGGTAGAGGAGCGCAGCAGAGGAATGACTATAACAGAATTAGGGGGATGGCAAGTACAAATCCCAGCGAATAAACAGAGTTACACCATGCTTGGTGTCTAATATTCTTGTTGTATTCACATGTATTCCTCTGTTAGCGAAAACATTGTGCACACACACAGCAGTAGGTAGTATGTTAATGTTCATCATACTCTCTACGTCTGGCTATTGGATCCTACAATTCCAGATCTCTGCCTGAAGTTCCTCTTAGCGAAATGTTGTGCAACCAGAGAAATGTCTGCCTAGAGTTGGCATTCTGATTTAAGGGGAAAATTTAAAATCAATCTTCATCCATGAGTAAGATACTTTTAAAACAATTGAAGAGAGGGAAGGAAGACCCAAATGAAAGAGGAAGAAGCTGAAGCCTGAAGCCATGCCCACATTAGACAGATACTCATGTAGACAATAAGATAATGACTCTGAGGCTTGTCATTTTAAAGTATTGAAGTCCAGAAGGTAGCAACATCTATTAGAACCAGATGAGGCTCCATTTGTTTACCCAATCATTAGGTCTGTCTTTGCTCACAATAATCAGGTCCTTTTGGTGGAGGTTAAGGAAACCAATATGTAATTTGGTAATTTGGGTGAACTAACACTACTGTAGAACTACTGTAGAAGTGACAGGGAAACTCTACTTATAAATGAATTTGAGAACCTCATAGAGTAGCATAAATGAGGTATTGGATTGTAGTTGGATCAGTTAAATTCAACCTCTTTGCCCAACTGTAGTAAAGCATGGAGTAAAAAAGGTACATTGATTTGACTGTTGGGATTGAACTAGAGCTCAGCCTGCACAACTAATACATGTGTACTGTATGTGACTGATGTAGTATCAAATGTGCCACTGTTCACCAGCAATCCAGATCTATCCTGGACCATAAAGTGTGGCCTGAGAACTTTACAAGAGATTCATCTGCTCACTTTATCCACCCCGGCCTAAAGGGGAATTCCTCTGGCCTTTTACCCATGCTTACCAACAATTCACAAGAGACAACTACAGATAGTTGGACCCAATGCTCGATCAATGTCCCACCATCATACTCACCTTGGATAAGATGCTGGTTGTCAAAGATACTGGAACCAAAAACATATATTTTCCCCATTAGGTTATATTACATTTCTAGTCAGAATGCCTTTAACATTGTATAAAGTATACATAAATATAGCAATTATGTAATATCAGATTGTTTATTTGATAAGTGTAATAACCATTGAGAAAACACTTGTGATCCTTTCATTTTGACATTTTGGCATTATTATCTTTTCATGGGCATTATTACCAGCATATGGCAAAATAAAATGTAAATTGCTTCATATGGCACCAGGGGGCATGATAATAACAATAACATTCCTGAATGTGTATGACATCATGACATCATGACAACATTTGAAAACACTGAGACTGGCAATGACAGATGTGACAACAAGAGATGTTTCTGCAAATTAAACACTAATTGTGCTTTGGTGAAATATGAAATAAGAAAGTCACTGTCTACCTACCCTTAAAGTCAAAGTTCTCGGATTTTACATGGTGCCCTCAACAACCAACAGTTCACCAACTGAACTCTGCCCCCAATAGTGCATGACAAGCAGCGAAGGTGAGGTGGAAGGTGAATGATGAATGACAAACTTACTTGTCCAGAACGAAGTAGAGGTCAAAGCCCCCGAAGCAGGATGGTCCAGCCTGCCCCCTGTCCTGGTTGTGCCCAGTGTTACCAGCTGTCAGCACCACCAGCACACTTACAGTACCAAGCAGCACTGGTAACCAGGAGCCTCTGCACCCAAATAAATACATTATTCCAGTTTGGAGGAGGTATTTCACATGAGAGGAAGAATAACACCACCTTGGAAAACAAGTGGAGAAAAAACGATTCCTTATTTCTATATCTTCATCCAGTATTCTTCAGCATTGAATATAAGTTATCCGAAAGGCTGCAGTGGAAGGCAGAGAATGCTCTGATGCTATGAATCTAGTCTGTCTCAATTGAGTCAGGAGGCTCTCATCACTGAGTCAGGGACAAGCACAGGCTACACACACATGCACTGGGCCTCACAGCAGCGCACTCCTCTTATCTCGTCTTTTTCTTTTGCTCTTTTCTTACTGTTGGGAAGTAGGGCAGTGTAAGTGTATTCCAGGCAGCTCCACATAAACGTATGTTATTGTGTCTAATTTAAAGCCTCCTTCCACAACTCTCTGACTTTTCCTTTATTCACGTGGTTGAGGAGGTAATGAAGACAGATGTGAAAAATAACCTAGCCACTTCTACTGCCATCTAGCGGTGGCAATCAGTGTGACAAGGTTCTATACTATGAGCGCATAAGATCAAATAAAATCACGTTTTATTTGTCACATGCACCAAATACAACAGGTGTAGACTTTACCATGAAATGCTTACTGTAAAGTCTACACTTGTTGTATTCGGCGCATGTGAAAAATACAATTGTATTTTATTTGATCTGATGAGCTCCTGGTTTGGAACCTTGTGATTGTCACCACTAGATGGATAGTTTGTCTTTCTGAGAGTTTCAGTCTATTTACCTGAGAACTAACTTGCCTAAGTATACTGATTTAATTTTTTATTGTGTAGAACGATAGGCTTGAAATGGTCTATTTGATTTAACAAACAAAAAGACATCTAAGTTTAGCTTTTTTTAAATAAATCATAAAATCAATAGTCATTTCTGGTTCCTTATCAAAGTTAGCTGGCTAACTCATTGATTATACTTTGTAGTATACCCCTCTGGACTTCAAACCTGTTACATACAGTTCCCTCTACATTGGGAATAGATTAACTAAAAATGTCATAACCACAAAACAAATAAGTCAATGACTTGAAACAAATACGGTCCGTATATGGTGTGTGTGGACTTAAGGGGGAAATCTGAATTTAAGGTCCATTATGCAACACTGCAACCTGCAAATAGCCATTTGAAGTAGTTTTTTACTGGCTTAAACTAGACCTTACAAAAACACTCAGACATTTTTTTTTATTGATATTTTACCGGCAGTAGATGACAGTCAACATCTATCATGATGTTCTTTAAGTAAATAAAGTACGGACACCCTAAGGTGAGGTGTTGACTAACAGAGGATGATCTATACCAATGAAAAAGAAAGTTGCACACTAACACGCATCTTTTCACTGTATATTGAGAACACAGTGAAGTAAACAATTTACTTCCCCACAGCGCCGAAGATAGGGCAAGAAATGGAGGGATCACTCTTCTTAACTACCTTGAATTCACATGCCTTTTGGTCCCACTCCTTCATGCAATCATCAGGAAAATGTGTGGGAGTCGCATACCTGCAATCAAACAATAAACATCATCAAATTATTTTGCTGTGTAAATCAATGGAATTTCACTCTCTCAGTCTATTCTTAAACCACTGAGATAGCTTGTGTGGATATTTTGAGAAGATAGCAATGGGCAGTATATTCCTTTAGTGTGATAGATACAGACTGAGAAGGCTGAGGGCTACATAAACCATGCCTTTTGTAGGTGATAGTATAAAGCTGTACCCCGAGCAGCATGAATCACAAGTGCAGTCCATGCAATCACTGTTCCTCCAGCGGGAACCAATAGGATGCCATGTCTTATCCTTTTCGTCAAGACAATGGGTAATCATGCCTAAACAACAAAACAGTATAGCATATTGTAAATGTGTGTTGTCTTTTTCAATGTACAGGTGTATTTGATGTAGCCTGCGTATCATTCTTTTTAGCCAACTTTCCACTCCTTAGCAATCCTGTAATTTGCCAAAGAGACTGGCCAATCTTTAATCTTCAAATATCACCATTCTATCATTAATGAGCTCGAGGAGATCAGTGGATTAGTAATTTCCACCAGAGCTATTGCCAGATAATTTAATGTTAATTTCTCTAACATAATCCGCCTCCAACGTTGACTGATTTCCTTATATGAACTTTAACTCAGTAAAATCGTTGACATTTTTTTGTTCAGTATACATACTGCCTTTCCAACCACAAATGTCTTAACTTTGATCAGGGCCGGTTCCAGGCATTAGCAACCTAAGCGGTCGCTTAGGGACCTTGGTCGCTAGGGGGCCTCGGACCCAAAAAGCCGGCCAAAAAACAATTGAAATAATAATAATAATAATTATATTATATAGTGAAAAAATATATAAATCGCAACATGCAACAATTTCAACGATTTTAATGAGTTACAGTTCATATAAGGAAATCAGTCAATTTAAATTAATTCATTAGGCCCTAATCTATGGATTTCACATGACTGGGCAGGGGCGCAGCCATGGATGGAGGGCATAGGCCCACCCATTTGGGAGCCAGGCCCACCCACTGGGGAGCCAGGCCCAGTTAATCTGAATTAGTTTTTCCCCACAAAACAGCTTTATTACAGACAGAAATACTCCTCAGTTTCATCAGCTGTCCGGGTGGCTGGTCTCAGACGATCCCGCTGGTGAAGAAGCCGGATGTGGAGGTCCTGGGCTGATGTGATGACACGTGGTCTGTGGTGGTGAGACCGGTTGGATGTACTGCCAAATTCTCTAAAACTACGTTGGAGGTGGATTTAAGTGGAGAAATTAACATTTCATTCTCTGGCAACAGCTCTGGTGGACATTCCTGCAGTCAGAATGTAAATTGCACGCACCCTCAAAACTTGAGACATCTGTGACATTGTGTTGTGTGACAAAACTGCACATTTTAGAGTGGCCTTTATTGTCCCCAGCACAATGTGCACTTGTGTAATGATCATGCTGTTTAATCAGTTCTTCTTTGTGATCCGAACACCTCAAATTTCGATTCGTCTGTCCATAACAATTTTTTCCAATCTTCCTCTGTCCAGTGTCTGTGTTCTTTTGCCCATCTTTTCTTTTTATTGGCCAGTCTGAGATATGGCTTTTTCTTTGCAACTCTACCTAGAAGGTCAGCATCCCGGAGTCGCCTCTTCACTGTTGACATTGAGACTGGTGTTTTGCGGGTACTATTTAATGAAGCTGCCAGTTGAGGACCTGTGAGGCGTCTGTTTCTCAAACTAGACACTCTAATGTATTTGTCCTCATGCTCAGTTGTGCACCGGGGCCTCCCACTCCTCTTTCTATTCTGGTTAGAGCCAGTTTGCGCTGTTCTGTGAAGGGAGTAGTACACAGTGTTGTCCGAGATCTTCAGTTTCTTGGCAATTTCTCGCATCGAATAGCCTTAATTTCTCAGAACAAGAATAGACTGACGAGTTTCAGAAGAAAGTTATTTGTTTCTGGCCATTTTGAGCCTGTAATCGAACCCACAATTGCTGATGCTCCAGATACTCAACTAGTCTCAAGAAGGCCAGTTTGATTGCTTCTTTAATCAGCACAACAGTTTTCAGCTGTGCTAACATAATTGCAAAAGGGTTCTCTAATGATCAATTAGCCTTTTAAAATGATAAACTTGGATTAGCAAACACAACGTGCCATTGGAACACAGGACTGATGGTTGCTGATAATGGGCCTCTGTATGCCTATGTAGATATTCCATTAAAAATCAGCAGTTTCCAGCTACAATAGCCAATTACAACATTAACAATGTCTACACTGTATTTCTGATCAATTTGATGTTATTTTAATGGACAAAAAAATTGCTTTTCTTTCGAAAACAAGGACATTTCTAAGTGACCCCAAACTTTTGAACTGTAGTGTATATTTTAGGAACTTACTCAACTTACTATTGAAAGTACGAATAGTAGAATACACCAGGTGCAATTTCAAAATGTTGTTGTGCATCAGCTCTTTTTTTCTTGTTATGTCAGTCGCTGACATTCACTCAATTAACCATGTCAACTAACAATTTTTTGATTGGTAGTTAGTTTAGCCAGCCATCTAAACTTGTAGTAATTATGGCCAAATCCCAACTGGGGACGCATAGATTTTGTTATTCATTTTCAATCAGTTATCATATTAACATGGAATAAGTCATTATAAAATGTGTAGAATTGCAGTAAATTATCTTTAAAACTGCTAAAAATGATCTCAACCCCATGACAAAATGGGTGAATGGCAGAAAGCTTGTTGTAAAACTGCTATTTTTTTCTCTCTGCCCCATTACAAAATGAGTATAATTACATTCTTATAAAAATGCTATGCTTTTTTCTCCTCCTCATGGTAAAATGTGTGGAATTGCAGAAAACTTGCTTTATGCCCCATGGCAAAATGTGTAGAGTTGCAGGAAATTAGCTTTAAAACCCCCAAAAGGCTAGAGACGGCCCTGGCTTTGATTTTAAGCCTCAAACTACAGCAGCTTTGTCACGATCGTCTAGAACAGATGAGGACCAAGGCGCAGTGTTGCAGGCAAACATACTCTTTAATTAGAGACACGATGAAAAAACAACACACGATACGTGACAGTTCACGGTCTAACATAAACAGACTAGAAACAAGAACCCACAAACACAAAGGGAAAGACAGACAGTTTAAATATGGCTCCCAATCAGAGACAACCAGCACCAGCTGACACTCGTTGCCTCTGATTGGGAGTCACTCAGGCCAACATAGAAATACAAACTAGAACTCCCAACATAGCAATAGAATACATAGAATTACACACCCTGGCTCAACATAACAGTGTCCCCAGAGCCAGGGCGTGACAGTACCCCCCCCTAAAGGCGCGGACTCCGACCGCGCCAACTAAATACCACAGGGGAGGGACCGGGTGGGCACTCCGCCTTGGCGGCGGATCCGGCTCCGGGCCTGATCCCCACTCCCTCTCCAACCCCCCAAAGTACCCCTGGTCCGGTCTGGCCCCACTGGCCGGAGCTGGACTGCACACTGATGGAGCGGATTGCTCTAGCTCCGGCGTAACGCATCTGACCGGTGCCGGACCAGGCACCAGTGGAACAGGCACGGGCCGTGCCGGACCGACGACGCACACCACTGGCTTGGTGTGGGGAACAGGCACGGGCCGTGCTGGACTGACGACGCACACCACTGGCTTGGTGTGGGGAGCAGGAGCGGGCCGGACAGGGCTGACGAAACGCACCACTGACTTGGTGCGGGGAGCAGGAACGGGCCGGACAGGGCTGACGAAACGCATCACTGACTTGGTGCGGGGAGCAGGAACAGGCCGGGCCGAGCTGGCGACGCGCACCGTAGACTTGGTGCGGGGAGCAGGAACGGGCCGAGCCGGGCTGACGAAGCGCACCACTGACTTGGTGCGTGGAGCAGGAACAGGCCGAGCTGGGCTGACGAACCGCACCACTGACTTGGTGCGGGGAGCAGGAGCGGGCCGGACCGGGCTGGCGAAGCGCACCACTGACTTGGTGCGGGGAGCAGGAACGGGCCGAGCCGGGCTGACGAAGCGCACCACTGACTTGGTGCGGGGAGCAGGAGCGGGCCGGACCGGGCTGACGAAGCGCACCACTGACTTGGTGCGGGGAGCAGGAACGGGCCGAGCCGGGCTGACGAAGCGCACCACTGACTTGGTGCGGGGAGCAGGAGCGGGCCGGACCGGGCTGACGAAGCGCACCACTGACTTGGTGCGGGGAGCAGGAACGGGCCGAGCCGGGCTGACGAAGCGCACCACTGACTTGGTGCGAGGGACAGGAACAGGCCGGACCGTACTGGGGACACACACCACTGGCCCTATGCAGGGATCAGGAACGGGCCGGACCGGACTGGTAACACACCCCAGTACCTCTCGCCGTGCCTCCACACTTTCCTTCCCCTTTAACACCAGTGGCCCCCGTAACCTGGCGGCCTCCTCTGCCGACCCGCTGGACCGCTCTATCGCGGCCTCCTGCTGCCCCGACGTCCACGTCGTGAGCCCCCCCCTAAAAAATTTCTGGGCGGCTCTCCTCTTGGACCAGGCCTCCATGTCTCTAGCCAGACACTCACTCCACTGCTTCAAAGTCCAACCTTTCTGCTCCTCACTTGGCTTGGCCCAGTCGAGACTCTTACTCCACTGCTCCATAGACCAACCTCTCTGCTCTTCACGCTGCTTGGTCCTGTCTTGGTGGGTTCTTCTGTCACGATCGTCTAGAACAGATGAGGACCAAGGCGCAGCGTTGCAGGCAAACATACTCTTTAATTAGAGACACGATGAAAAAACAACACACGATACGTGACAGTTCACGGTCTAACATAAACAGACTAGAAACAAGAACCCACAAACACAAAGGGAAAGACAGACAGTTTAAATATGGCTCCCAATCAGAGACAACCAGCACCAGCTGACACTCGTTGCCTCTGATTGGGAGTCACTCAGGCCAACATAGAAATACAAACTAGAACTCCCAACATAGCAATAGAATACATAGAATTACACACCCTGGCTCAACATAACAGTGTCCCCAGAGCCAGGGCGTGACAAGCTTGCCTAGCTAACCGCTAAATGTTTGTTGCTTAATTTGTTATAATTCTAATTCTATTTTTGAGGCTCCACATGTTGTCATCGAAAATATTAATGTTATTTCCAACAACCAATGAGCAACTCTGTTGGAAATCCAGCTGCATATTGAATGTTGAGATTGCCAAAAAGCCAGTCTCTTTTGCAAATAACAGGAGTGGAATGTTAGCTAAAAAGACTGGTACCCAGACTATATAGTGAGTGTGTGTGTGTGTGTGTGTGTATGTTTGCATGTGTGCGTGAGAGAAAGAGAGAGGGGGGGGGGGGGGGGTTAACAGCTGGTTAGCTTAGTCTTTTACTTTACCTGGTTTCAAAGTCATAGGCTTCCTGTGGCAATAAGCATGGAACAGTGGAACTAGCACACACAGGATTAAACCTAGAGCCAAGGACCTCTTCACAGGGAGAAGGGAGGGAAAACATTTGTTATTGAGGGGAATAAGCCATAGGCCTACCGTTGAACCTACAAAATATTTATAGATGAACAACTAGCAAACCAAACTGACACATGTCTACATTTTGAGCTAATCATTGACCCTACTCTAGGTAATAAAATAACGTAATATTTTTCCAATGCCCTCCTCTACTATGTAATTTAAATCCACCATCCATTCCGGCTTAAAACAAATATGTGGGGAGTTCCAAATATTAATTTTGCCTGCTGTATTTATTATGTCCACATTGTGATGAACAAAATGTGTAACTGAAACCCCATTCCCTATGTGCCATTAGGAGTTACAACAAGAACACAGCTTCTGTTTGTTACCTTATCATGGAAAATCAATCAAATTCACGGACGGTTCCACCACCTCCAGATTCCTACTAACTTGTACATAACATGCCAAATTTTAAGAAACTTACCATGATTCACAAGAATGTAGACTGGATTCTAAGGTAATTCTAGGGATCTTCTAGGGTAGAGAACTTCACAGGCTTGTGGGTCTTTTGGAAGTAGCCTACCTTTGGAATTAAACAAGGGCTGGGGTCAAACACTGTCAGTAAATCGTGCGCGTGGACTTTTAAGGTCCACTATGCAACAAAGCAACCTGCAAATAGCCCTTAGTGTATATGATATGTAGTGGTACAATTAATTCAGAGAGATGTATTGGACATAGTTTGAAGCTATGAAGTTTCTTGTTTACTGGCTCAACCCAGACTTTACAAACACACACACACACGTTTTGTTCTTCTATCCTCGTGGGGACTTAAAATGTATTTCCATTCAAAATCCTATTTCCCCTAACCCTAAACCTAACCCTTACCCTAACCTTAAACCCTAACCCTAACCCTAAACCTAACAAAGTAAGCATGTTACTCACTTTTGTTTACTCTCTCCCCACCCCCACCCTTTGTTTAATTCCAAAGGTAGGCTACTTCCCAAAGACCCACTATTTAAAAGCAAGTTTTGTACTTCCCTACAAGAACTCTAGTAGAATTACATTACAATCCGTTTGTGTGAATTATGGTAAGTCATTTTGCATGTTATGTTTTCAGGATTTTGAAGGTGATAGAACAGTCCTTATATTTGGTTGATTTTCCATGATATGTAACACCAGAAGCCGTGTTCTTGCTAATTTACTGTAACTCCAGTAACATACAGTGCATTCGATAAGTATTCAGCCCTTGAGTTTTTCCACATTTTGTTACGTTACAGCCTTATTCTAAAATTGATTAAATTGTTTTTTCCCCCTCATCAATCTACACACAACACCCCATAATGACAAATCAAAAACAGGTTTTTAGAATTTAAAGCAAATGTTAAACATAAAATAAACTGAAATATCACATTTAAATAAGTATTCAGACCGCAAAAAATTCTAAAAACCTGTTTTCGCTTTGTCATTATGTGGTATTGTGTGTAGATTGATGAGGATTTTTATTTTATTTGATCCATTTTAGAATAAGGCTGTAGCTTAACAACATTTGGAAAAAGTGAAGGGGTCTGAACAGGTGGGGAGTTAAAAAGATTCATTTTGCAGTATTTGGAAAAAGTGAAGGGGTCTGAATACTCTGTTTGAAAGTATTCAGACCCCTTCACTTTTTGCAAATTTTGTTAAGTTACAGCCTTATTCTAAAATGGATCAAATAAAATAAAAATAGGTAGCCTAATGGGGTTTCATTTTGTTATGATAATGTGGACATAAAAATAAATACTGCAAAATGAATATTTTTAACTCCCCACCTTTGTTCGGAAAGTATTCAGACCCCTTCACTTTTTCCAAATGTTGTTAAGTTACAGCCTTATTCTAAAATGGATCAAATAAAATAAAAATAGGTAGCCTAATGGGGTTTCATTTTGTTATGATAATGTGGACATAAAAATAAATACTGCAAAATGATTCTTTTTAACTCCCCACCTTTGTTTGAGTCTGAATGGATGGTGGATTTAAACAACATAATAGAGAAAAGGCATTGGAAAATATAGTTACCAGTATTTATTTTCTAGTGTAGGGTCAATTACGTATTATTTTAACATGTTTAAATGTGTCACTTTCCTTTTCTAGTTCTTTATGTTCAATGTTTTGAAGGTTCAATGGTAGACCAATGGCTTGTTTATTCCACTCAATAACATACATTTGAAGTCGGAAGTTTACATACACAGGTTGGAGTCATTAAAACTCATTTTTCAACCACTCCACAAAGTTATTGTTAACAAACTATAGTTTTGGCAAGTCGGTTAGGACATCTACTTTGTGCATGACACAAGTATTTTTTCCATCAATTGTTTATAGACAGATTATTTCACTTAAAATTCATTGTATCACAATTCCAGTGGGTCAGAAGTTTACATACACTAAGTTGACTGTGCCTTTAAACAGCTTTGGAAATTCCAGAAAATGATGTCATGGCTTTAGAAGCTTCTGATAGGCTAATTGACATCATTTGAGTCAATTGGAGGTGTACCTGTGGATGTATTTCAAGGCCTACCTTCAAACTCAGTGCCTCTTTGCTTGACATCATGGGAAAATGAAAAGAAATCTGCCAAGACCTCAGAAAAGAAATTGTAGACCACAAATCTGGTTCATCGTTGGGAGCATTTTCCAAATGCCTGAAGGTACCACGTTCATCTGTACAAACAATAGTACGCAAGTATAAACACCATGGGACCACGCAGCTGTCATACCGCTCAGGAAGGAGACGCGTTCGGTCTCCTAGAGATGAACATACGTTAGTGCGAAAAGTGCCAATCAATCTCAGAACAACAGCAAAGGACCTTCTGAAGATGCTGGAGGAAACAGGTACAATAGTATCTATATCCACAGTAAAACGAGTCCTATATCTACATAACCTGAAAGGCCGCTCAGCGAGGAAGAAGCCACTGCTCCAAAACCGCCATAAAAAAGCCAGACTACGGTTTGCAACTGCACATGGGAACAAAGATTGTACTTTTTGGAGAAATGTCCTCTGGTCTGATTAAACAAAAATAGAACTGTTTGGCCATAATGACCATTGTTGTGTTTGGAGGAAAAATGGGGTGGCTTGCAAGCCGAAGAACACCATCCCAACCGTGAAGCACGGGGTGGCAGCATCATGCTGTGGGGGTGCTTTGCTGCAGGAGGGACTGGTGCACTTCACAAAATAAATGGCATCATGAGGAAGAAAAAGTATATGGATATATTGAAGCAACATCTCAAGACATCAGTCAGGAAGTTAAAGCTTGGTCGCAAATGGGTCTTCCAAATGGACAGACTTCCAAAGTTGTGGCAAAATGGCTTAAGGACAACAAAGTCAAGGTATCGGAGTGGCCATCACAAAGCCCTGACATAAATCCTATAGAAAATGTGTGGGCAGAACTGAAAAAGCGTGTGCGAGCAAGGAGGCCTACAAACCTGACTCAGTTACACCAGCTCTATCAGGAGGAATGGGCCAAAATTCACCCAACTTCTTGTGGGAAGCTTGTGGAAGGGTACCCAAAACGTTTGACCCAAGTTAAACAATTTAAAGGCAATGCTACCAAATACTAATTGTGTGTATGTAAACTTCTAACCCACTGGGAATGTGATGAAAGAAATAAAAGCTTAAATAAATCATTCTCTCTACTATCATTCTGACATTTCACATTCTTCAAATAAAGTGGTGATCCTAACTGACCTAAGACGGAATTTTTACTAGAATTAAATGTCAGGAATTGTGAAAAACTGAGTTTAAATGTATTATGTCTCCTGAGTGGCGCAGTGGTCTAAGGCACTGCATCGCAGTGTTAACTGTGCCACTAGAGATCCTGGTTCGAATCCAGGCTCTGTCGCAGCCGGCCGCGACCGGGAGACTCATGGGCGGCGCACAATTGGCCCAGCGTCGTCCAGGTTAGGGGAGGGAATGGCCGGCAGGGATGTAGCTCAGTTGATAGAGCATGGTGTTTGCAATGCCAGGGTTGTGGGTTTGTTTCCCACGGGGGCCAGTATAAAAAAAAAAAATGTATTCACTAACTGTAAGTCGCTCTGGATAAGAGCGTCTACTAAAATGTAAATGTATTTGGCTAAGTTGTATGTAAACTTCCGACTTCAACTGTATGTTTTCTCTCCCTGTGAAGAGGTCCTTGGCTCTAGCTTTAATCCTGTGTGCGCTGCTTCCACTGTTCCATGCTTACTGCTTCAAGAAGTATTTGAAACCAGGTAAAGTAAAGGACAAAGCTAACCATCCACACGAACACATAGAAATTACACTAGCACATTGAAAAAGACAACAAACATAAACAATATGCTATATTGTTTTCTTGTTTAGGCATAACCCATTGTCGTGATGACAAGGATAAGACATGGCATCCTATTGGTTCCCACTGGAGGAACAGTGATTGCATGGACTGCACTTGTGATTCATGCTGCTCGGGGTACAGCTTTATACTATCACCTACAAAAGGCATGGTTTATGTAGCCCTCAGCCTTCCCAGTCTGTATCTATCACACTAAAGGAATATACTGCCCATTGCTATCTTCTCAAAATATCCACACAAGCTATCTCAGTGGTTTAAGAATAGACTGAGTGGGTGAAATTCCATTGATTTACACAGCAAAATAATTTGATGATGTTTATTGTTTGATTGCAGGTATGCGACTCCCACACATTTTCCTGATGATTGCATGAAGGAGTGGGACCAAAAGGCATGTGAATTCAAGGTAGTTAAGAAGAGTGATCCCTCCATTTCATGCCCTATCTTCGGCGCTGTGGGGAAGTAAATGGTTTACTTCAATGTGTTCTCAATATACAGTGAATAAAATATGTCAGCTTACTTTGTGTCAAATGTGAATGTTTCGGTGTCTGATTAATTGGATTGGTTGACTAGAAATGGTAAAAACATCATGATACAAATGAAAAAGAAAGATGCGTGTTAGTGTGCAACTTTCTTTTTCATTGGTATAGATCATCCTCTGTTAGTCAACACCTCACCTTAGGGTGTCCGTACTTTATTTACTTCAAGAACATCATGATAGATGTTAACTGTCATTTACTGCCGGTAAAATATCAATAAAAAAAATGTCAGGTTGCAGGATGGACCTTAAATTCAGATTTCCCCCTTAAGTCCACACACCCCATTTACTGACCGTGTTTGTTTCAGGTCATTGACTTATTTATTTTGTGGTTATTAAATGTTTAGTTGATCTATTCCCAAGGTTTGAAGTCCAGAGGGGTATACTACAAAGCATAATCAATGAGTTAGCCAGCTAACTTTGATAAGCAACCAGAAATTACTATTGATTTTATGATTTATTAAAAAAGCTAAACTTTGATATTTATTTAAGTTTGTTAAATCAATTAGACCACTTTAAGCCTATCTTTCTACACACACAAAAAAATGCAGTATATTTAGGCAAGTTAGCTGGCTAACATGCTGCTTTATAGTGTACTCCTCAGGTTGACAGACTGAAACTTTCAGAAAGACAAACTATCCATCTAGTGGTGACAATCACAAGGTTCCAAACCAGGAGCTCATCAGATCAAATAAAATACAATTGTATTTTTCACATGCGCTGAATACAACAAGTGTAGACTTTACAGTAAGCATTTCACAGTAAAGTCTAAACCTGTTTTATTCGGTATAGGTGGTATAGACGGTATAGAACCTTGTCACACTGATTGTCACCACTAGATGGCAGTAGAAGTGGATAGGTTGTTTTTCACATCTGTCTTCATTACCTCCTCAACCGCGTGAATAAAGGAAAAGTCAGAGAGTTGTGGAAGGAGGCTTTAAATTAGACACAATAACATACGCTTATGTGGAGCTGCCTGGAATACACTTACACTGCCCTACTTCCCAACAGTAAGAAAAGAGCAAAAGAAAAAGACGAGATAAGAGGAGTGCGCTGCTGTGAGGCCCAGTGCATGTGTGTGTAGCCTGTGCTTGTCCCTGACTCAGTGATGAGAGCCTCCTGACTCAATTGAGACAGACTAGATTCATAGCATCAGAGCATTCTCTGCCTTCCACTGCAGCCTTTCGGATAACTTATATTCAATGCTGAAGAATACTGGATGGAGATATAGAAATAAGGAATCGTTTTTTCTTCACTTGTTTTCCAAGGTGGTGTTATTCTTCCTCTCATGTGAAATACTTAATGTCTTTATTTGGGTGCAGAGGCTCCTGGTTACCAGTGCTGCTTGGTGCTGTAAGTGTGCTGGTGGTGCTGACAGCTAATGTGTAGTGTAACAACTTTGTAGCATATGCTTTGGACATAGGCCCTTATTCTCTTACTAAGATGCCTGATCACTTTTATGCATATCATTACAACGTCTATATTCGTATAATTTTCACATCATATGTACTGTATATAGTCACATGTATTTAGCGTATCTTACCTGGATATGGTAACATCAGGTTTACCCTCAGAGGGAATGCCTGTTATCCCACAAAGACATATGGCCTCGGTGTTTGGGTTCCCGGCAAGCACTCTGGCCTTGGTAGCAGCAGCTGGCAATGAGTTGGGAGCCGAACCTGCTTCATGAGAAGCTTTAATAATTTCTCTAGGGAGCAGCATTTCTTACACACTGGATCATCCCACTGTCATAGTATACACACAGGTCAATCTGAATTACCTTAAATATGTTTAAGAAACAGAGAAGATATGGAAGAAAGTACTCTGGTCAGATGAGACTAAAATTGAGCTATGTCTGGCGCAAACACAACACCTCTCATCACCCCGAATGTTTTTCATCGGCAGGGACTGGGAAACTGGTCAGAATTGAAGTAATGATGGATGGTGCTAAATACAGGGAAATTCTTGAGGGAAAACTGTTTCAGTCTTCCAGAGATTTGAGACTGGGACGGAGGTTCACCTTCAGCAGGACAATGACCCTAAGCATACTGCTAAAGCAACACTCAAGTGGTTTAAGGCGAAACATTTAAATGTTCTTTTTTGGGGGGTGGGGGGGGGGAATAGTTATGCACGCTCAAGTTTTCTGTTTTTTTGTCTTATTTCTTGTTTGTTTCACACAAAAAATTACTGTAGCTACTGTAGGAATATGTGGGTCCTTGCTCCTAGAACAAACATTTGATTGTCTTCAGCTAAATCAAAGTTAGAGAACGATTAACCACAATGGGCAGGTTTGTATATGTAAATAAACCATTCACACACCTGCTCAGCCTCCCCTTCCGGTGACACAGCGAATCAGAGTGATACTCATTTTGGATGGACAGCAAGTGTTTTTTGATGTTCCCTCGTTGTACGCAGTGGAGGGATCTACTGTAAATCTTGTGTTGGCACCTGTAACCAGCCTAAACAGAAGGTGTATTGTATTTATTATCTGAACGTCTGCATGCCTTACATTTGCTCTATCCCACCGACGAAATATCATTTTACCCACTTCAATCAATACCTTGAAAATAATTCTATGTCCTTTCCTGGGTCTTGTTACGCTGACCCTCCATTTCACTCCAGTGTCTCTAGTCTTTAGAAGCCACTCTTGTAACTCCTCAACAGAATTCACTCCTAGGCGTAGGCTCAATTCAAAAGTTGAGTGGTCTCTCTGGGTAGGTCTCTCAACAAGTGAAGAAATATGATATTTGTACCCATGGGGTAGCCAACTCTAAATAGGAAAACAATGTAACTTGATGTATTGTGTGCTATAGTCAGAGTAACTTAAACAATTTTATAGAAATTATTAGCTAATAAATATTTGAGAAATTATGAATAATAAGCATATGCTTTTACCTGATAATAGACTACTAATGATAATATAACAACTTTAAATTCAGAGCTAGTAAGGTTAAGTAGCCTAGGTTAACTTAGCTGACCTTCAATTGAGGGAATTCAGCAGAGTTCTCTGAGACATTTTTACAACTCATTGAAACTCTGAAAATAAATACATGGACAAATGTTACCAAACATGTTAATAATAGGCCTGCATTACGGTAGGCAGCTAATTGTTAAATTACACTTTCCATCCTTACCTTAGAAGGTCACTGTCTCTCAGGGGTGTGTGTTCATCCATGTCTTTCAACAGGCTGTGAGGCAACAGCTGTCGCGAGCCAACAAACGCTAGCCAATGGAAGCGTAGTAGAACGTCCCTCTGAATAACGGGGCATGGTTTTGGCTTAACTACGTTGGGAAAAAGAAAGACGCCGCCCACGTCGATCATGGTGAAGCGGCACCTTGCATCGCAGACTGCCTTCAGGACTATTGCAAAAAAGCCCTTGTAGTTGTAGTACTCGCTGCCCGAGTTTGCCAGAGCTCGGATCCGAATAGTTTCTGGCATCGACAGCTCCTGCACAAAACTGATAATTCCAACTATCTCCAAAATCTCTGGCGATTTCTGCCCATTTTGCATTAATTGCAATTCAAAAAGAGACATGTTTGCTTCTTCTTCTGTGGTTAAGAAAGTAGTGTCGTAAAGCATATAACACCAGACTAGGCTGACATGTAGCTAGCTAGTATTTGTAAACAGTCATAACACCAGACTGGGAGTTCCAATGTCGTCACTAACTACATTTTAGTCATTTAGCAGACGCTCTTATCCAGAGCGACTTACAGGAGCATTTTAGGGTTAAGTGCCTTGCTTAAGGGCACATCGACAGATTTTTCACCTAGTCGGCTCGGGGATTAGAACCAGCGACCTTTCGGTTACTGGCACAACGCTCTTACCCACTAAGCTACCTGCCGCCCTAACTAGAGTCAAAAAGAGTGCCTCGGCCCCTCTTGCTTGGTAAACTACTATGGCTCCCCAAGCCCTTTAGTGGATATACACTACACAAGGTGGACTTCCTTTCTGGGTGGAACGAAACGAAAAGAGTCCGCTGCCCCCCCAAAAACGACTGCACGCACGTAGATCAATGGAGTGGAGGTTGCAGCCGCCTATATGCGGATGCGATGGATTGAGATGCAGCCCATGCAAAAAAAACAGATACTGTATCTCTAGCTTTAACTGACGGATTTTGATGGGGATTTTTTATTATGTTACTTATATTGACGTACCGGTGCGTCAATAGACTCTAGGGGGATGTTATTAATATGACAATGTCTAATTCAGTTACATTTTAGGAATGTCAGATAATACGTTGAAAAGTAAAGGGCATTGAGGCAAAGTCATATAGCGATTGAGAACTAAACTGCTAACAAACACAATGTGGAACAAAACTGTAACTGAATTGATCATTGGCTGTAGGGTTTATTGATCATTGGCTTTGCACATGCTGGACCTGCTAAAATGATTGTTCTCTCATTTCCTATAGCTACAGCTCTAGCTGTAATCCTGTTTGCTCTGCCTCCACTGTCCCATGCTGCATGTGTCATCTTTCAAACTATGAAACCAGGTAAAGGACAAGACAACAACCCCTCAAAAAACAAGACAAAACATATGGGCCTACATTAGCCTATAGAGGACATATTAATGAGAAGAATGTCAACTATGTTTTACATTTCTGAAACTAATGCTGTGTTAGGAAGCCTACTCTGATTCAACTCATGGTGTCTTTTTAGGCATGACTCATTGCCAGGACCATTTGGATGGTACATGGCATTCTCTATGGTCTAGGTGGCACATTGTCTTTACCATTTCAGTTTGTAGGAATAAAAGTATTTCACTGTAGGCTCTAATGAAAATAAAGAACTGTACAATGTAATTTGCTAATTTGATTTGTTTTGTGTAGGGCTTCTTAAATATGACGTATTTAAGAAGAATGATCGATCTGTGCCATGGCCGTACATTGGTGGTGCGGGGAAATGATTGGTGTTGTCTGTCATTTACTGCCAGTAAAATATCAATTAAAAAGATCATTCAATCATTCAACATCCTTTAGTGTGTGTGTGTGTGTTTGTGGGGACCCCAAAAAAAAATGTCCCCTTAAGGACAGTAAAACAAGGAAAAGTATCCCTTGTGGGGACATTTCCCACATCCCCATGAGGTCAAAGACTATTTTAAGCTAAATGGTTAGGTTTAGGGTTAGGGTTACAATTAGGGTTCTGGTTTGAATCAGGGTAAGGGTAAGGGGTTATTGGTTTTAAAATTATATTTATAGACCTTTTTCACATTTTACAATCATAATACTTCATATAAATACAAATCAGCTTTCACATCAATACATGGATTCATTTTTACATTTACATTTACGTCATTTAACAGACGCTCTTATCCAGAGCGACTTACAAATAGGTGCATTCACCTTATAGCCAGTGGGATAACCACTTTACAGTGTTTTTTTTTTTGGGGGGGGGGGGGGGTTGGAGTAAAGGGGGGGGGGGGGGGGGGGGGGGGTAGAAGGATTACTTTATCCTATCCCAGGTATTCCTTAAAGAGGTGGGGTTTCAAATGTCTCCGGAAGGTGGTGAGTGACTCCGCTGTCCTGGCGTCGTGAGGGAGCTTGTTCCACCATTGGGGTGCCAGAGCAGCGAACAGTTTTGACTGGGCTGAGCGGGAACTATGCTTCCGCAGAGGTAGGGGAGCCAGCAGGCCAGAGGTGGATGAACGCAGTGCCCTCGTTTGGGTGTAGGGACTGATCAGAGCCTGAAGGTACGGAGGTGCCGTTCCCCTCACAGCTCCGTAGGCAAGCACCATGGTCTTGTAGCAGATGCGAGCTTCAACTGGAAGTCAGTGGAGTGTGCGGAGGAGCGGGGTGACGTGAGAGAACTTGGGAAGGTTGAACACCAGACGGGCTGCGGCATTCTGGATGAGTTGTAGGGGTTTAATGGCACAGGCAGGGAGCCCAGCCAACAGCGAGTTGCAGTAATCCAGACGGGAGATGACAAGTGCCTGGATTAGTACCTGTGCCGCTTCCTGTGTAAGGCAGGGTCGTACTCTCCGAATGTTGTAGAGCATGAACCTACAGGATTGGGTCACCGCCTTGATGTTAGCGGAGAACGACAGGGTGTTGTCCAGGGTCACGCCAAGGCTCTTCGCACTCTGGGAGGAGGACACAACGGAGTTGTCAACCGTGATGGCGAGATCATGGAACGGGCAGTCCTTCCCCGGGAGGAAGAGCAGCTCCGTCTTGCCGAGGTTCAGCTTGAGGTGGTGATCCGTCATCCATACTGATATGTCTGCCAGACATGCAGAGATGCGATTCGCCACCTGGTTATCAGAAGGGGGAAAGGAGAAGATTAGTTGTGTGTCGTCAGCGTAGCAATGATAGGAGAGGCCATGTGAGGATATGACAGTGCCAAGTGACTTGGTGTATAGTGAGAATAGGAGAGGGCCTAGAACTGAGCCCTGGGGGACACCAGTGGTGAGAGCACGTGGTGCGGAGACAGCTTCTCACCACGCCACTTGGTAGGAGCGACCGGTCAGGTAGGACGCAATCCAAGAGTGAGCCGCGCCGGAGATGCCCAGGTCGGAGAGGGTGGAGAGGAGGATCTGATGGTTCACAGTATCAAAGGCAGCAGACAGGTCTAGAAGGACAAGAGCAGAGGAGAGAGAGTTAGCTTTAGCAGTGCGGAGAGCCTCCATGACAGAGAGAAGAGCAGTCTCAGTTGAATGACCAGTCTTGAAACCTGACTGCTTTGGATCAAGAAGGTCATTCTGAGAGAGGTAGCAAGAGAGTTGGCTAAAGACGGCACGCTCAATAGTTTTGGAGAGAAAAGAAAGAAGGGATACTGGTCTGTAGTTGTTGACATCAGAGGGATCGAGTGTTGGTTTTTTGAGAAGGGGTGCAACTCTCGCTCTCTTGAAGACGGAAGGGACATAGCCAGATTCATTATTACATAATATGGTTTAGTGCCCATTTAAGTTTTTATAGGCCTACTTGTTTTTTGGGGTTCAGCTTTCTTCTTCCTTTTAGTTCTGTTTTAATAGGTTTAAAAATAGCGTTCGAGGGGACAAAAAGCTGTTTTATAGTCATAATGCATCGTCTTCCAAATGTTACTGTTCACAATGCATATTACTGTCCACCATAATTATTTACTATTGTCATCCATGTGAGTATCGAAGACACAGTGAAAGACAGACTTAGGATTTATACATACATCAGAACTGATATGTATTTATTTCGTTCTGTAGCAGTTCAATGGAAGGTGTTCTAAACTCTCTTCATCATGACAATTAGGCATAGGACAAAATGTACTTTGAACAAAACAGCTCCACTTTGCTACAGCACGCACTAGTAGAAATCAACAATGTTGTATCTATTACATTTTCTGACAATTGTGTACTGAGTAGATTTTTTATACATTCTTTACCGTAGTGCTTTCTTTACCGTAGTGCTTACATAGAGCCACTGCTTTTTTCAGGGTTCAGAGCAGGCGCTGGCCAAGGCCCTAGAACATGCACCGCCCGTAAGGAATAGCTATCCAGCCCCTGTTTTGCATCTTTGTGCTGACAGTGGCGCGCCCACTCAAAACAAAAGGAAGTCGGTCATAATCAATGATTTATAGAAACCCGAGGCGGAGTAGTCCTTCTCAAATGTGAAAATCTACACGGAATTTAGATTTTGAAGTTTATATTTTACAGAATTTATACTCGTTTGTTCTAAATTATATTTCGATTGCAATCACGTAATGCTATCAATGGCAGTAGTATGAAAAGGTGAGTTGCCAATAATACGACTAGCGCGTGCTAGCTTTAATGCTACTATGCTCGCCGTGTTAGCTAGCTACTGTAGCTAGATGATTTCCTACATTATTACACGTAGCCACGTTGTAATGCCCGGTATGATTGTTAGTTACCCCTTCTGTTAGCCATGCGCTAACGTTAGTGTAATGCATATTTCGTGTTGTTAGGTAGCTAACTAGCTAGTTAACGTTAGCGCATCTGTCTAGGCCATGTAGCTAGTTTACGTTAGCAAGTTAGCCAGCTACCTAATAAAGTAATGTCAACAACGCACAGCTCGCGCTCCGCCATGCATGAAGCAAACGCATGTTGCTTGCTATCAACATTATGAGAACATCTCTAAAGAATCTAGCTAGCTATGTACTGTTACTAGCTAAAATAATGCCGTTAGCCATGATTAGTTAGCTAACTAGTGAACAGTTACTTGTCTAACTAGACAGCTAGTTAACGTTACAAAGTTGGTTATTAAGCCAATGCATACGAAGGGTGCTTGTAACGAACCAGCTGTGGGTTAAAGATGAGTGGTCCAACTCACATGACGTGATGTCCCATGATGATGGATATGATATTGATCATGTTTCCTCCCCCTTCAGGCTTGGGTTGAAAGCACCACTCTCTCAGAGCTTTGGGGCCCCAGTAGAGGATGTACTGTGGTGGGGACAGGGACTTCCAGACTTCAGCGCAGAGGATGGGTACATCCTTGCTGTTCCAGTTGTCCGTTCATGAGCGTGAGCTGGACTTGGTGTTATTGGACCACAGCTATGCCAAGCCATGGAATGCCCACCCGGACGCCAGCAGTGCCCGGCCCACGCGCATGCTGTTCGTCACACCCCGTCACCAGCCTGATGCCACTCTGTGAGTGTCAATCCTCATAATCCTCACTAATGACTCAATGGCCAAACAATTTGATGCACACATCTGAAAACATGTCTATCTGTCTGCCTCAGAACAAATGTAATTGTGTAACTTTATCAAGGCAATAATTAAGTGACCGCTAAAACTGGATAACATCATTGACTGAAGTATGTTTGTGTCTTTTGCAGGGAATCAGATCTGTCAATAGATGTGGAATCTGTCACACCTACACCTATTCCACTCTATGACAACCAGAAAGCATGCAGTGTTATGAAGGAGTGTGAGCGACATGTTTTATTTGCTCGCACAGTTGCCGATGGTCCCCCACCTCCTGATGACTGGGATGAACGCATCAACAAGTGAGTGGCCTCCACCCGACATCCCTTTGAATAACCCTATTGAATTTTTAAAAATATAAATTATTTTCTGTAAGGACTTCTGTGATGCAGTTGCCTTGTTTGCTCAGCTCTTGTATACACTGTCATTTTCCCAAAAATTATTAATGTGTCTCAATCTCCATTGCAAATAGTGATCATCTTCATACTTCATTACTGGTACACATTGCTTGTATTATAGGGCTGGATGGTCAGTCACTCAAAACAAGTTATTTAATAAGGTGCTGAAAGCTCTGCAAGCTGAAAGATTGGCCCGGCTTGCCAATGAAAATGTGAGTTCATAAACACCATCTAAATGCTTTTGTATGTGGTGCCAATTTTGTTTTAAAAGTGATTCAACACTAAAATATTTCCTTGACATGTTTCAGTTTGAATGACTATCAAAGTTCCTGTCCCTGTTGTCTCACCATCTTGTCTTCTGACTCGTAGGCCTCCAATGAGCCAGTATTGCGCAGGATTGCTGTGGACAAGTGTGCCCGGAAGGTGCGCCATGCGCTGGCCAGTGTCAACTGGGACACCAAACTGACCCAGTGGCTACATGGCACCCTGATAGAGTCTCTCAGTCTGGCTATGCTGGCTGCTTACCTGGACGTACTGCAGACACTTAAGAGCAAGGTACTCATTATCTCGCTCTCAAAATGTGTTTACACATTGTGATGTTATGACACATGCATTCTTATATAGAGGGATACATTCTATCAGGATGATTCACCATTCCTCTCTGTCTGTGCAGTTGCCCTCGCTGATTGACAGGATGCTGCTGACATCGTCAGTGAAGACTGGAGCGGCAGGTGCAGAGGCCCTCTCTCTGCTCCTGAAGAGGCCCTGGGATCCAGCCGTGGGCGTTCTGTCTCACAACAAACCAGTACGTCTCTAATGTTGATATCCCTGTCTGTGGCGCTGGGAGCAATCAAAGTTCACTGCAGTCAAAGAATGAATAGGACAATGGAAACAAACACATTCCAAATGATAGTAGGGATGAAAGTGATAGTTGTGGCAGTAAGAGAAAGCTCTTAGTAGTTTCATCTATATACTGTTTTATACGGCTAACTGTCTTACTTTGACCACTCATAATGCCTCTGTTTTGACTTGCACTTATTTGATTGCATTTCCCAAATGATGTGATAATAACCAGATGCCTATCTTTGTGTTTGTTTGTATTGCAGAGCAAGCTTCCTGGCTCCCCACTCATCTTAATTGCACCATCAGGGCCCACCAATCCTGCTCTTTCTACCCCGCGCCGAATGAGATTTTGGCAGTCACAACTCTCCTGCTTGGGAAAGGTTTGTTTGTATCTATTCTATTCATACTCAAGTGTGACTGTGCATCACTGTGTTTTATTCACACCCAATAGGCTTTTGGGCAAATCATTGAATTACTGTATAATGTGTCTATCCCAGGTCATCCCAGTAAATACCCATGTAAACAGTGGATCCAATGTGGGCATCACTCAGTGTCTGGAGCACATGTTGGGCACGGTCAGGGCAAAAGTCATGGAGGTAAGGCTGTTATATGAATCTGAAGTTGTGTATCCAGATATTTGTTCCTAATGGACTAGACTGTTGCTTGAATGCGATGTGCCAGACTGATCTGTCATATTTTGTCTGTTTATTTGCCTTTCAATGTATTTATGCACCAGGTCCACAGTCACTTCCCTCACAAACCCATTATCTTGGTTGGCTGGAATGTGGGAGCTCTCATCGCCTGTCATGTAAGGCTGCTTTATGACTGCTGTCTCTGTGTGTACTGAAAATATAAACGCAACAAATTCAACCAGTTACAGTTTATATAAGTAAATCAATCAATTTAAATGAATAAATTAGGCCCAATCTATTAATTTCACATGACTGGGGCAGCCATGGGTGAGCCTGGGAGGGCATAGGCCCACCCACTTGGGAGCCAGGCCCTGCCAATCAGAATGAGTTTTTCCCCACAAAAGAGCTTTATTACAGACAGAAATACTCCTCAGTTTCATCAGCTGTCCGGGTGGCTGGTCTCAGACGGTCCCGCAGGTGAAGTAGCCGGTTGTGGAGGTCCTGGGCTGACATGGTTACACGTGGTCTGCGGTTGTGAGGCCAGTTGGGCGTACTGCCAAATTCTCTAAAACGACGTTGGAGGCGGCTTATAGTAGAGAAATGAACATTAAATTATTTGGCAACAGTTCTGTTGGACATTCCTGCAGTTATCATGCCAATTGCACACTCCCTCAACTTGAGACATCTGGGGCATTGTGTTGTATGACAGAACTGCACATTTTGGAGTGGCCTTTTATTGTCCCCAGCACAAGGTGCACCTGTGTAATGATCATGCTGTTTAATCAGCTTCTTGATATGCCACACCTGTCAGGTGAATGGATTATCTTGGCAAAGGAGAAATGCTCACTAACAGGGATGTAAACAAATGTGTGCACAAAATTTGAGAGAAAGAAGCGCTTTGTGCGTATGAGACATTTCTGGGATCTTTTATTTCAGCTCATGAAACATGGGACAAACACTTTACATGTTGCGTTTCTATTTTCGTTCAGTTGATATGGTGTCAACATTTTCTAAGAGTATATTCTCTGTGATGGTCAGAAAGATATACATCTGTTGGTTATTGAAAACCAATCCTTGTAGAATATGAGCTATGACATGTAATGCGATGGGTGGATGTGACATTGGTGCACATTGATGTGGTTGTCCTCTCCCAGGTTTCCCTCATGGAGTACCTGACTGCTGTGGTGTGTCTTGGCTTTCCTCTGCTAACAATCAATGGGCCAAGAGGGGTAAGGAAATATGCTCAAATGTTTGTCTTGCCTTGTGGAGACATTAGGATGTGATGCTTCTACTTGTCTTACAGTTTCAACATCATTCTTTCACAGGTCAGGTCTGTGAGTCTTAGACTTGTATTGACTGTATTTGTATTGTTGACTGGCAGGATGTGGACGACCCCTTACTGGACATGAAGACCCCAGTGCTATTTGTGGTTGGTCAGAATGCTCTGCAGTGTGGCACAGAGGCCATGGAGGAGTTCCGAGAGAAACTTAGAGCCGACAACAGCATGGTGGTGGTGGGAGGAGCTGAAGACAACCTCAGGTGGGTTAAGCCTACTCTAGATTTACTCTGAGGCGGCTGGTGGTCTTCACACGCTATTGAAATATATTTAAGAGGACATTGGAATTTAAGGAAGCAATTGAAAGCTGTTGAATGTTCTCTTGTGAAGACAAAGGACTAAAAGTGTATCACATTGTTCTGCTCACGGTCATTTTCTGCATGGCTATTCAATTGACGAATTTGAGGGCATCCGTTTGTTTCTAATTCATGATTTAAATGGTGTCCTTCCTCAGAATCAACTCAACAAAGATTAAATCAGAGGGACTGACACAGACCATGGTGGATCGCTGCATTCAGGTTGGTCCATTTTTCTTGTCCTGCAAAGGAACTATGTTTGTTTTATTCAGACAATGTTGACTAAATGCAGGAGTTTCTACGAATTTTCTGAATTAAACCATGGCCATCAAACTCTTCACATATAGTGTCAGTGAAAGGCTTTTGGTGCAGATATACATGCCTGTTGTCTCTATCTCGTGTGTAGGATGAGATAGCAGACTTCCTTTCGGGAGTGCTGGCGCGGGCGGAGAGCCACGGCTCCGGAGAGCTGAGGGACCTGGACACAGAGAAGAAGAAGAAGCCCCGGCGGGAGCTCCCCTTTGACCTGGAGAGGGCCCGCCCTTCCTCCCCTGCCCTCAGAGTACCCATCTCCCCCTCAGGCTCCGAGGTACGTCCTGCATCACTCAATCACGCTCAGGAAGACTAGCAAGGTAATGCTAGGAATTATATACACTGAGTGTACAAAACATTAGGAATACCTTCCTAATATTGAGTTGCACCCCCTTTTGCCCACTAAGCTATATGGAATTGTTTTACGAAGGTCATACCAAGGATCATTTTGCTATTTGATTTGGAATTTTAAGACCCATTGAAGTATCCCAAAAAGTATATAAGAAAAATATTTGAAACCTTTTATTTGGCTTACTGCTATTAGCCTATACAAACGCATCGAATAACAGTTTCACTACATGGAACAACAGATAGCAGATTTCGTGCGTTTTTGTGTGGCTTAATTCATAGGAAAAGATCATATTTGGGGGGGGCAAACTTCGGAGCAATCTTTTGAAAGTTATTGGAGCAATGCATTTTGGGCAATGGTGTTGTACACTGCCTTTTTTTGTGTCCCACATTTATTTATATAAAAAAACAAACGTGTTAACAACCAAATATTGTCAATCAACCTGGTTGTCACCAAAATACTTATAATAGTAGCCTTATGTTTTTATTTTATTTGTATTATTATTAATGCCAAGCTGTTTTCTGTGCTTGTTTTCGCTTAATATTTTGGGATACTGGTGCTATGTCAGATTTTGAGTGTTGCCAGATTGGAGTAAAGAGCTGTATTTGTGTTTTTTTTTTGTGGTGTAAAAGCTGTATTTAAAAATATACAGTGGGGAGAACAAGTATTTGATACACTGCCGATTTTGCAGGTTTTCCTACTTACAAAGCATGTAGAGGTCTGTAATTTTTATCATAGGTACACTTCAACTGTGAGAGACGGAATCTAAAACAAAAATCCAGAAAATCACATTGTATGATTTTTAAGTAATTAATTTGCATTTTATTGCATGACATAAGTATTTGATCACCTACCAACCAGTAAGAATTCCGGCTCTCACAGACCTGTTCGTTTTTCTTTAAGAAGCCCTCCTGTTCTCCACTCATTACCTGTATTAACTGCACCTGTTCGAACTCGTTACCTGTATAAAAGACACCTGTCCACACACTCAATCAAACAGACTCCAACCTCTCCACAATGGCCAAGACCAGAGAGCTGTGTAAGGACATCAGGGATACAATTGTAGACCTGCACAAGGCTGGGATGGGCTACAGGACAATAGGCAAGCAGCTTGATGAGAAGGCAACAACTGTTGGCGCAATTATTAGAAAATGGAAGAAGTTCAAGATGACGGTCAATCACCCTCGGTCTGGTGCTCCATGCAAGATCTCACCTCGTGGGGCATCAATAATCATGAGGAAGGTGAGGGATCAGCCCAGAACTACACGGCAGGACCTGGTCGATGACCTGAAGAGAACTGGGACAACAGTCTCAAAGAAAACCATTAGTAACACACTCCGCCGTCATGGATTAAAATCCTGCAGCGCACGTAAGGTCCCCCTGCTCAAGCCAGCGCATGTCCAGGCCCGGCTGAAGTTTGCCAATGACCATCTGGATGATCCAGAGGAGGAATGGGAGAAGGTCATGTGGTCTGATGAGACAAAAATAGAGCTTTTTGGTCTAAACTCCACTGGCCGTGTTTGGAGGAAGAAGAAGGATGAGTACAACCCCAAGAACACCATCCCAACCGTGAAGCATGGAGGTGTAAACATCATTCTTTGGGGATGCTTTTCTGCAAAGGGGACAGGACGACTGCACCGTATTGAGGGGAGGATGGATGGGGCCATGTATCGCAAGATCTTGGCCAACAACCTCCTTCCCTCAGTAAGAGCATTGAAGATGGGTCGTGGCTGGGTCTTCCAGTATAACAACGACCCGAAACACACAGCCAGGGCAACTAAGGAGTGGCTCCGTAAGAAGCATCTCAAGGTCCTGGAGTGGCCTAGCCAGTCTCCAGACCTAAACCCAATAGAAAATCTTTGGAGGGAGCTGAAAGTCCGTATTGCCCATTGACAGCCCCGAAACCTGAAGGATCTGGAGAAGGTCTGTATGGAGGAGTGGGCCAAAATCCCTGCTGCAGTGTGTGCAAACCTGGTCAAGACCTACAGGAAACGTATGATCTCTGTAATTGCAAACAAAGGTTTCTGTATCAAATATTAAGTTCTGCTTTTCTGATGTATCAAATACTTATGTCATGCAATAAAATGCAAATTAATTACTTAAAAAGCATACAATGTGATTTTCTGGATTTTTGATGGTCTTGGCCATTGTGGAGAGGTTGGAGTCTGTTTGATTGAGTGTGTGGACAGGTGTCTTTTATACAGGTAACGAGTTCGAACAGGTGCAGTTAATACAGGTAATGAGTGGAGAACAGGAGGGCTTCTTAAAGAAAAACGAACAGGTCTGTGAGAGCCGGAATTCTTACTGGTTGGTAGGTGATCAAATACTTATGTCATGCAATAAAATGCAAATTAATTACTTAAAAATCATACAATGTGATTTTCTGGATTTTTGTTTTAGATTCCGTCTCTCACAGTTGAGGTGTACCTATGATAGAAATTACAGACCTCTACATGCTTTGTAAGTAGGAAAACCTGCAAAATCGGCAGTGTATCAAATACTTGTTCTCCCCACTGTATATATTTTTTTGGTATCGATGAAGGTATTTGAATGGGGATACATTTTCATGATGGGAAATTAATTCATCAATAAATGTGGGGAAACAGAAGACCTGTAAAATAAATCTGTTTGGTTTAAATTCCCCTTGTGCAACTGCATGGTATTTGCAACTGTAATGAGTCTGGACGATGATCAATTAAGCCATATCAATGCAGTTAAACAGGTTAATCTAAAAGAATGAATTATGTTACACTTATGGCACTTCAAAGGCCGTTTCATAATTTATTACGGTCGTGTCAATCATGTTATATACTTAGGCTATTGTAACAAGGCATATGCCAGCATTGTTGGCCTACTGCCTCTGCCCAGAGGCCTACTAGGCTTTCATGGCAACGGCCGTTAGAGCTCACTTTGCTACATATGAGACCTGGTTATAGTCCCTGTTGCAGCTTTCACTTTCTTCTGCTACATTGGTGGCAGCGTTGGGATCACATGCATCTCCCATCTAGTGGTGGGAAGCATTCTGTTTCTCAACATTGTGTTGGGTGTAATTACATTAATATATCTAGTGAACAATGGATAAGCAACAATGGGCATGACGGATAGAAGTAGTCACTACAGGTGTGATCAAGCCTTACATCAAAGTTGCCTGAAGCTGAATGGAAAGTGTTATGCCCTGACCAGTTATTCAGAAATCTTCTGTGACTGTCTAATTTACATAAGTAAACTTACCAGTGTGGACCCAAAACAAACATTCTACACCTTTACAAACTACCTGTTTAAAGTGTTATTACAACCATGCTGTTAATTGTTTTACTGAAGCATATATATGGGGCGGCAGGTAGCTTAGTGGTTAAGAGCGTAGTGCCAGTAACCGAAAGGTCGCTGGTTCTAATCCCCGAGGCGACTAGGTGAAAAATCTGTCTGTGCCCTTGAGCAAGGCACTTAACCCTAATTGCTCCTGTAAGTTGCTCTGGATAAGAGCGTCTGCTAAATGACTAAAATGTCAATGTAATGTAAAATGTAACTATACAGTACCGGTCAAAAGTTTGGCCACCTACTCATTCAAGGGTTTTTATTTTTACTATTTTCTACATTGTAGAATAATAGTGAAGACATCAAAACTATGAAATAACACATATGGAATCATGTAGTAACCAAAAAAGAGATTATTTAATGACAGCTTTGCACGCTCTTCGCATTCTCTCAACCAGCTTCATGAGGTAGTCACCTGGAATACATTTCAATTAACAGGTGTGCCTTAAGGTAATTTGTGGAATTTCTTTCCTTCTTAATGCGTTTGAGCCAATCAGTTGTATTGTGACAAGGTAGGGGTGGTATACTGAACATTTCAAGAACTTTGAAGGCTTCTTCAAGTGCAGTCGCAAAAACCATCAAGCGCTATGATGAAACTGGCTCTCATGAGGACCGCCACAGGAAAGGAAGACCCAGAGTTAACCTCTGCAGAGGATAAGTTCATCAGGGTTACCTGCCTCAGATATTGCAGCCTAAATAAATGCTTCACAGAGTTCAAGTAACAGACACATCTGAATTGCTGCAAAGAAACCACTACTAAAGGACACCAATAAGAAGAAGAGACTTGCATGGGCCAAGAAACACGAGCAATGGACTTTAGACCGGTGGAGATCTGTCCTGATTTTTGGTTTCAACCGCCGTGTCTTTGTGAGACGCAGATTAGGTGTGAACGGATGATCTCTGCATGTGTGGTTCCCACCGTGAGGTGTGGGGGTGCTTTGCTGATGACACTGTAATTTATTTAATTGAGCTGGTTTGGGATGAGTTGGACCGCAGAGTGAAGGAAAAGCAGCCAACAAGTGCTAAGCATATGTTGGAACTCCTTCAAGACTGTTGGAAAAGCATTCCAGGTGATGCTGGTTGAGAGAATGCCAAGAGTGTGCAAATCTGTCAAGGGAAAGGGTGGCTACTTTGAAGAATCTCAAATATAAAATATATTTTGATTTGTTTAACACTTTTTTGGTTACTACATTATTTCATAGTTTTGATGTCTTCACCATTATTCTACAATGTAGAAAATAGTAAAACTAAAGAAAAACCCTTGAATTTGTAGGGGTGTCCAAACCTTTGACTGGTACTGTATCAAATAACCTGACAATGATCCATATCATATTGGTAGACAAATACTATAAGTGTGTTATGCAGCAACACACAACTATCCTTTTTTTAGGATGCAAACCAGTAATATGAATCACTGTTGATCCATCCTGTTCTGATCTAATGAGACGGATGTAGGATTTTCTATGGCCTAGAAAACGAGGCCTTTCCCAGTCATGAAAGTCGAAGTTAGGCCCCTCTTGGTTCTCATTGGCGAAGACTGAACTCAAGTTAGGGGTTATATGTCAGACTACCCTATACCACTGCCCAACATGTTGTACCCCAGAGGTTGTAAATAAACCCTTTTTAAGGTGATATAACTTGTCATTATTATAGGGCTGTGAAACCCATAGCTGACTGGCTTCAAACAAAACATTTCTCACCTTTATTTACGGAGAGCAATTTCAGATTTATAACAGGTAGTGTCCATTTATTTACAATAGTGTGTTGATTTAATTATTGCTTTCTCAGTGGAAATATAGAATATGTATAAAAATGCCAAATATACCAAAAGCTAAATCAAGCAGAGATTTACGACTATTTAACCATGTTAATCATTACTGAAACGTGCAAACTACAAACATTTAACCAGTTAAATATAATGAATACATGACAACTAGATGATACAAATATTTTATAAAAAATAATTTGGCTATAACATGAGTACAAACAAAGTGAGTCTGTGTATTATGGTTTATTATAATTTCCCATCGTAAAAATGTATCCGCATTCCCCAATCAAATACCATCGAATTTTCTCTAATTTGGCTACCTACATAAAATTCGACAGCCTTGTATAAAATGCATTATGAAATAAATGGGGTAATGTACATGAGAAAGTGGAGCCTTGTATTAAATGCATTATGAAGAAAATTGTGTAGGGCTACTGTTGCCTACACAAAAAAAGGGCCTTTCTGACTACAAGTGCACCAGTATCCCAAAGTATTAAGCGAAAACAAGCATAGAAAACAGTATTGCCATTAATAAATAAAAAACAACGTAAGGCTACTATTATATTATCATTATTTAGATGATAACCTGGTTAATTAACAATATTGGGTTAACACTTTAAGTATATAAATAAATGTGGGACAGAAAAAAAAGGCAGTGTAGAACGCCATTGCCCATCATGCATCATTGATATAGTAACTTTCAAAAGATTGTTCCGAAGTTTGCCCCCAAAAAACGTATTTTCGTACGAATTAAGTCACACAAACGCACGAAATCTGCTGAAATACTTTTTGTAAATACAGTGAGCTCCATAATTCACTGGACAGTGACCATTCTTTTGTTATTTTGGTTCTGTACTCTAGCACTTTGAGTTTGAAAGGATACAATGACAATGCGGGTGAAGTGCAGACTGTCAGCTTTAATTTGAGGGTATTTTCATACATATCGGATGAACTGTTTACGAATTATAGAAGCTTTTGTACATGGTCCCCCCCATTTTCGGGCATCAAAAAACATTGGACAGTTTAACATAATGTAGAATAAAGTAATCATTGTTAATATTTGGTCGCATATCCTTTGCATGCAATGACTGCTTGAAGTCTGCGATGCATCGCCATCACCAGACGCTGGGTATCTTCCCTGGTGATGCTCTGCCAGGCCTGTACTGCAGCCATCTTCAGTTCCTGCTTGTTTCGGGGACTTATTGCCTTAAGTCTCCTCTTCAGCATGTAAAATGCATGTTCAATTGGATTCAGATCTGGTGATTGACTCGGCCAGTCAAGGATTTTCCACTTTTTGGCCATCAAAAACCCCTTTTTGCTCTAGCAGTATGTTTAGGGTCATTGTCTTGTTGCATGATTAAGTGCCGTCCAATGAGTTTGGAGGCATTTGGTTTTATCTGAGCAGATAAAATATTTCTGTAGACTTCAGAATTCATTGTTCTACTTCTGTCTGCAGTCACATCATCGATGAAGACAAGTGAGCCTGTTCCACTGGCAGCCATACAGGCCCAAGCCATAACACCCCCTCCACCATGTTTCATGGATGAGGTGGTATGCTTTGGATCATGGGCATTTCTTTTTTTTCTCCACACTTTTGTCTTTCCATCACTCTGGTACATGTTAATCTTTGTCTCATCTGTCCACAATACTTTTTTCCAGAACTCTTGGGGCTCTTTTTAGCAAACTGTAATCTTGCCTTTCTGCTCTTCAGGCTTATCAGTGGTTTGCATCTTGTAGTGTACCCTCTGTAGTCCTGCTGGTGTAGTCTTCTGCGTATGGTAGACTTTGACACATCTACACCTGCATCCAGGAGAGTGTTTTTGATCTGTTGGGCTGTTATCAGGGGTTTTTTCTTCACCATAGAGAGTATTCTCCGGTCATCCACTACAGTGGTCTTCCTCTGTCTACCGGGTCTTTTGACATAATTGAGTTCACCGGTTGTTTTTTTCTTGTTAATGATGAACAAAACTGTTGACTTGGGCATGGCCAGGGTTTTTGCAATGTTCCTGAATGATTGATTTTCATTTCTGAGCCTTATGACGGCCAACTTCATTTGCATCGACACTGCTGTCTTCCTCATGTTGTCACACCCCAATAACAACCTCCAAAGGCAATAGCAAAGTCTAGAATCATTACTATTCATCAACAGCTCTCCTGCATTCACTAACGACACAAATGAATACACCTGCCTAACGACACACATCTGTGAAGCCAATTTAACAAATACTTGTAGTACCTTAAAATGGGGGGACCATGTACAAAAGGTGCTGTCATTTCTAAACAGTTCATCCGATATGTATGAAAATACCCTCAAATTAAAGCTGACAGTCTGCACTTCACGCTCATTGTCATTGTATCCTTTCAAACTCAAAGTGCTAGAGTACAGAACCAAAATAACAAAACAATGGTCACTGTCCAATGAATTATGGAGCTCACTGTATATGCACAAATTGAGAGTGAGATGATGTTGGGTGGATAAAAATAAGATCTCTAGCTTAGACTGACAGCTTTTTATGGGGATTTTGTATTATTATGCTAATTAGATTTCCGCTGGGTGCAGACATCGACCGTAGTGGGTTAACAAGTGGCATCAATAAGGTATCATAGCTTTCACCTGATCAGTCTAAGTCATGGAGAGAGCAGTTGTTCCTAATGTTTTGTAAAGTCAGTGTACATTGCTGATCATTTGATTAGCCATGTTTTCTGGTTATGTCCTCAGGACCTGTCCAGTGTGTGCAGCAGTCCCACCTCCAGCCCCAAGCCAAAGACCTCGGGACTGTCCCCGGCACAGAAGTCCAGCCTGATCACCGCCACACAACTCCTCAAGACCCATATGCAGCGGTCTGGGACGGTGCTAACACACAAGCAGGCACAAGGTTTGTGGGCTAACTAGCATGTATGAACACACACCAACGCAGACACACACACACACACACACACACACACATACATGCATACAGCTCTCACATTTGACACATTTGTTTGTGTGCGCTTGTTCTAATGACTCAGTCACCTCCCTTGCCAATGGGTTTTTTAATAGCTATGTGGGCTTGGGAAGATGTGAATGCAATATTGAATGGTGAAAATAGTTTTCTTAGACATGAATCTTGTTAGGGCAGTCACGACAACAGAAGGGCACAATGGAACGTGACTGATATCTTTTCATCCCTTCTCTCTTTCTACTATTCCTTCTACCTTTTTAATTCATTCCAGCCCAGTTTGCTGCTTTTATGAAACAAAACATGTTTGTGAGGAAAAATCTTCCTCCTGGCACTCCCTCCTGTGTCTTTGGTAAGTATCTCTCGGCTCCCCTCTTTTCTCTTCTGTCTGCCATCTCCCTCTTACTGCCAGATCATTAGCCTCTGCCAAGTCCCCAACTACTGGATGTTCCGGTTTTCAGGCGAAATGGAAAGGGCCTGTGACGCGACCTCCGCTTTTGGACGTTAACAAGGCGACACTCCATCTGAACTCCTCCACATTTACTGGACTGGTTAAACAGTGCAGAAGAGAACCTCCTTTTTTATTTAATTTTCTCTCGTCAAGACCAGTATGTAGGGGATCTAGTTTCAGGTGTTTATTTTACACCTTCTTTGTTAGGTTACCAGATCATTCATGTACGTTGTTTACAGGGTCATATAACACTTTTTAAGAGTGAGCATTATACAACATTCCATGCTTGTATACTTCATGACAAGTGAATTTGTAACAGGGTTGAAGTGGTCTGGTCTGTATATCCCAGTCAGTGACGTGATGTGTGTCTGTGTTTCAGTGCCTGTATCCAGTGAGCAGACCGAGAGCCTGGAGAGAGACGAGCTGAGGGCCCATCTGAAGAGGAGGCAGACGCCCAGCCCCACTCCCACCAAGGCCTCAAAGAGAGCCAAGATCAAGGTGACAATCCTGCATGGAGAGACAACAGGGGGCGCTATCAGCTCTGCAGCACAGGAAGGTAACTGGCTCAGATTTAAGTGTGGGCAGTTTTCTGCTCCTCTAAATGAACGATTCAGTAAAGAAACATTTGAGGGGGCGCTAGAGAGCGTGCTATGGAGTAGACGTGCATTGCTAGAGCTCCGCTCAATTTTGAAACAAATTAATATTTATCTTAACCTCTCACAACCTATAACTTCAAACAAATATGACAAAGGGAAAAGGCAACAAAAAAGGGGGCGCTAAACAAGATAATTGGAATGAGATAGACAACGAACCAATTTCAACGTCGCCGACCCACGAGGAGCTAGCTGAAGAGGCTAGCTTCCAAGAGTTCCCCACAGATCCTACTCAAAGTGACATACTGGCTGCCATAAACGCACTAAGCAAGAAGGTGGACACAAGGTTGGCTGATATCTCAAAGAGTATTGGGACTTTGGCCGAAACTGTGAAGGCAACTAAGGGAAGGGTGCACGAGGTTGAGCAGACGACAATCGATCACGAGGCCAGGCTACAGGACATAGAGAAACAGTGCGCAACGCTCAAAAATGACAACAAAACCCTGAAGGCCCGACTGGAAATGCTCGAGTCGCATTCAAGACGCCAGAACATCCGAATATGTGGGATCCAGGAGGACACGGAGAAAGGGAAACCCACTGAATTTGTCTCGGAGCTGATACCGGCATTGCTGGGGAGTGAACACTTCAAAACGGCCATCCTGATCGACCGCGCACACAGAGCACAGGCAACGAAGCCGGCCAAGGGCGGGCCACCAAGGCCATTCATTGTAAGGCTGCACTATCCCCACACCAGGGATCTCATCCTCAAGCTGGCTAGTCAAAAGTTCCCCCTTAACTACAACGGAGCCAGGGTGTCTTTCTACCCAGATCTTACCTTGGAGGTGAGGAACCAACGGAAAGAGTATGATGAGGTACGCAACAAATGCAGGGCGGCCAACATCCGATATGGATTCCTCTTCCCAGCCCGGTTTAAGGTGACAGTCGAGGGATCAACACGTACGTTTGACAACGCAAAAGAGGCAGATCTGTTCTTGACAAGCAAGCTCCCCGGCTGAGGATACAGAACGGCTGTGCCAGCAGGCTAAATGGCCAAATACAGGCCAGGAATGTGTGTGAATTGAATTTCCGGCCTATGTCTTTTCGATCAGAAGATCAGAAATTGGGACTTATAGGATAGGTGAGATGTTGTGGCTAATATAGCATTGTTTGGCATGTCATGTTTTAGCGCCACTCACCCCCTAACATGAGAGTTAAGTTAAGTGTTATTTAATATTAGTTTATATGCGGAGCATCTATAGACGACGAGTTAGTTCAAGCTTTATGTCTAGACACCCTAACGTTTGTGTGTTAGCCAAGGAGTGCTTCGTTTGGGGAAGTCACTCAGTAAAGGGACGGGAGGGGGGTTGGGGTCTGTGTTTTATGTTCACGTTTATTAGTACAGGTGGCATGACAAGCTCCCGCACGGCGGGACGTTTTTCTTCTGGGTTTTGTATGACAGCAGCAATTTGCTTTAAAATAAGAAATGCCACATAGTGACCGAGCACAGAGTAGACCAGGTGGAATAAAGATAGTCAGCTGGAACTGTAATGGATTAGGGCATGTCGTGAAACGAGCTAAGGTTTTTTCTCATCTTAAATCACTGGGTGCTGACATAGTGCTTCTTCAAGAAACTCATATTAAACGCTCCGCGCAGGCCAAGCTACGAGTCGGCTGGATCGGTCAGATATACCAGTCTAACTTTGATGCAAAAGCGAGAGGGGTAGCAATCATGATAAGGAAAAACATTCCTTTTGTTTACTCAACCTCGATTTCAGATCCTAATGGTCGGTATATTATTGTGGCTGGTACACTGAATTCAAAACCAATAACCTTGGTCAATTTATATGGACCCAACTTCGATGATCCAGTATTTTTTCAAAGGGTATTTAAGGCCATACCAAATATCTCGGATACAAGTGTTATTGTTGGAGGTGACTTTAACTGTACGTTAGACCCTCTTTTAGATAAACAGCTATCAAGGTCACTTCAACAATCAAATGCCAGTGTCTGTCTAAATACATTGATGACAAACCTTAACATTGTCGATATTTGGAGACTGACGCACCCAACAGACAGGGATTATTCTTTCTTCTCATCAGTTCATAAATCATATTCCAGAATTGACTATTTTTTGTTGGACTCCAAACTAATCTCAGCAGCTGAGTCGGTTACCTATCACCCCATTCTAATTACGGACCACTCTCCTCTGTCCATGGTGCTGAAACTCGACAATATGTCGACAGGTCGGCGACCGTGGCGCTTAGACGCATACCTGTTGAAAGATGAGGCTTTCTGTCAGTATTTGGAGGAGCAGATTGCCTTTTTCCTCAGTACTAACGACACGGGGGATGTTGACGACTCCACCCTTTGGGAATCTCTAAAGGCTGTGATTAGAGGTTACATTATTTCTTATACATCAGAGAGGAAGAAACGTGCCAATACTAGGCTGAGAGAAATTGAAAGGGAGTTAGGGGAACAGGAGAACGTTTTTAGGACAAATTCCTCGTATACAGTCCTTGAGAAGATCACAAAGTTAAAGTATGAATACAATACCATCCTTTCGAAACGGGTGGGCTCTTTACTTGCTAGAACGCAACAAAGTTATTTTGAACTGGGGGACAAACCACATAAATTATTAGCAAGACAGCTAAGGCATGTACAAGCATCTAGAGCTATTCACAAAATAAAAGACAAGAAGGGTAAAATAGTAACAGATCCGCAGGACATTAATAAATGCTTTGCACAGTTTTACTCAGAGCTATACCAATCAAAATGCGATGCTACTGATCCACAAACTATGGAACGCTTTCTCGCTGATTGTGAACTTCCTAAACTAGACAGGGGGGCAGCTGCCGCACTCGATGCAGGGATAACCTTAGATGAAATTAACACAGCGATAGCACAATTTCCAAACAGCAAGGCCCCTGGGCCCGATGGATATGTAATAGAATTCTATAAGAAGTACTGCGCTAGTCTATCTCCACTTATGCTGCGAATGTTTCAACAATCCAAAGAAAATACCAAACTCCCGCAAACACTGTATGAGGCTACAATAGCCCTGATCTTGAAAAAAGATAGAGATTCCATGGAGATGTCGTCGTATCGCCCCGTGTCGTTACTCCCCATAGAAAACAAGGTGTTGACAAAGATATTGGCAAACCGATTGAAAAAATATATTTCCGACATCATACACCCTGACCAGACAGGTTTTATCCCGGGCCGACATATATACTACAATTTGAGACGCCTTTTCAACGTAATGTATCATGATCATAAAGTTGAGGCAGTGGTAATAGCTCTTGATGCAGAGAAGGCGTTTGATCGGATTGAGTGGAAGTATATGATGTCGGTTCTGGAGCATTTCGGATTTGGAAAGGAATTTATTAATTGGATAAGAATTATTTATGCACACCCAATGGCGTCCGTGGTGACCAATCAGGAAATGTCGCAGTCATTCCGCCTGTTCAAGGGGTGCCGACAGGGGTGCCCTATTTCGCCTGCTCTCTTCGCTATAGCCATGGAACCCCTTGCTACGCGCATTCGGGCATGTGCCGATATAGCTTCTGTTAAAATAAAAGACACACAGCACAAAATTTCCCTATATGCAGACGATGTTCTTTTGTTTTTGTCCAAGCCTAAAACGTCTATTCCACCATTACTTAAATTGATAAACACATTCGGCTCCTTCTCTGGCTACAAGATAAACTGGCAAAAAAGTGAGATGATGCCAATATCACGGCCTGTGGATATGCAATTTCTGCAATCTACCCCGCTTAGAACAGTGAGGGACAAGTTCACAAGTCTTGGCATTGTAGTGACAAGAGACCTTGACCAGCTATTGAAAGTGAATTGGGACATGAAAATATATCAGCTTAAACAAAATATAGATTTCTGGAAAACTCTGCCTATTTCCTTGGTTGGTCGTATAAACGCTATTAAAATGGTTGTCCTACCCAGGTTTCTTTACCTCTTCCAATGTCTACCCAATTTCATACCACAAAGCTATTTTAAGAAACTGGATTCAATAGTAACTCCATTTTTATGGGATAACAAGGCAGCCAGAATTGCAAAGAAGCATTTATGCAAGTACAAGATAGAGGGGGGCTTTGGCCTTCCTCACTTCAAACTGTATTATTGGGCTGCTAATCTGAACATTGTGTCTTTCTGGAGGGAAAGTTTACCTGAGATGAGACGGAAGGATATGCCTTCATGGCTTTTGATTGAGCAGGCCTCCTGTCAACGTTCCTCACTCCCTGCACTTGTTAATAGCCCATCATATGTGAAAAAAGCCACTTATGACTCCAATCCAGTCATTTGTCATACTCTTAGGATCTGGAAACAGATTAGGGATTTTCTTAACATACCCACTGTGTACATAGACAGCCCGATTAGCCGGAATCATGCTTTCCACCCTGCAATGGATGATGTGGTGTTTTCACAGTGGAGGGAGAAGGGGCTCACAACAATTGGTAATCTATACATAGATGGTCAGTTAGCTTCATTTCAACAGCTACAGGAAAAGTTCAACATGCCAACAACACATTTTTTCAGATACCTCCAAATCAGGAATTTCTTAAGGACACACATCCCACAGTATGGCATGAAGCCAAATAGTCCTACATTAGATAGCTTGATCCTTGTCAAACCCCATTCAAAAGGGTCGGTCTCCAGACTGTATGATGTGCTACAGGCCCACATAGAGGTATCCACAGACACCATTAAAAGGGCTTGGGAACAAGAACTTGGTTCAGAAATCTCAAATGAGGACTGGATAGAAGCTCTCAGGAATATAAACCACAGTTCAGTGAATGCCAGACACAACCTTGTACAGTTTAAGGTGATACACAGGTTACACTACTCAAAAGTAAAACTGCATAAAATATTCCCGGACACCTCACCACTGTGTGAGAGGTGCAAGCAGGAGGAGGGGACGTTGTCCCACTTATTCTGGACATGCCCTAAATTACAGGCTTACTGGGCTCTCATTTTTGATTACTTATCTAAGGCCTTTGATAGAGTTCTAGCCCCAGACCCATTGATCGCTCTGTTTGGTACAGTTGATGGGAATAACCAGGAGGGGAAAGCTGTCTCTCTTTGTACTCTATTAGCCAAAAGGCTCATATTGCAATTTTGGAAATTGGAGACTGTACCTACCTTTGAAATGTGGTTACGGGATTTAGGGAATGTAATCCATATGGAAAAGATTCGATACAACACCTCCAATAGAAGTCCATTGTTTTACAAAATATGGCAGCCGATACTGGATAAATGGTCTAGTCCCGCTTCATAACTGGGCTGACGATCTGCTGCTACTCTGTGCTGTACCCCACTCAATATTTATTTTTGGCTGAACTACACTGCTTGTAATGACTATATGCTGTCTTCTTATACACGTACCACCTAATAGGATTTTGTTTTATTTTGTGTATGTGTGAGTTAACTTTGGTTTTGTCCTCTAAACTGGCCATCCCATCCAACAGTACAATGAATGTCATTGTTTGTATTGCTGTCTCTTTTACTTTATTTTTATTGGAAAATAATAAACATATTATAAAAAAAAAAGAAACATTTGAAATTGTTTCCAAATTCATTGAAATATTTGTAGGGCTTATATTATATGGATCATATTCATTTCCACCATTTCAAAACTCATTAGAAACCATTGTCGATGTTATACTGTGGTGTTGTCCAATCAGGTTTGGCTTATTCTCTTCATGGTCTGTTTTCCAATGCAGTGGGACCCTCTGGGAATCCCCTGACTTTGACTGTGGGACAGACTGTGTCTGGAGCCAAGGAAGTCTCTGGACTCCTCACAGCCCAGCGGTAGGCCTGACACAGCATGATCTCCAACTCTCCAAACGATCTCTCTTTGGGCAGCGGTGTGTGCTGCAAATGGATTGAGTTCTGGACTGGTTGGAAGTTATTGTATAGAACATAAACTATAGGGTGGGTAGCTACCACAGCTCTGTTTATCGGAGCAACTTTGAGTAGATTGGTTGTGTGTTAATGCAGGTCTGGTAGTCTGACAGGGGTGTCTAGTGCCCAGAGCTCGGGTTCCAGCTCTTTCCAGAGTTGCATGGTTTCAGGGTCCTCCTCACCAGTCCAGGCGCAAGCTCCTGCTACTGCCCAAGGTATCTCCTACCTGCCTGCACGACTGTCCTAACTCGGCACAGCCGCAGATCTATCTCACAGATTACTATGAACACTGAACTACAACCAAATATGTTGTACAGTATATTTTCACAGATGTGTTAGTTGCAATGCAGAGGAACAGAGTCCATCTAAAATGTAAAAAGGATGAGACTAAAGTGGAGTTGTTTTATGTCATGATTTTGAGCACTTCACGAGAACCGATCTGAGCAAACAAGGTTATTGATTACTTGTTGCGTTACCCCTGCAATGTCTCTGGTTGTTTTTTCAAGGTAGTTTATTCAAATAGACAAATAGGGGTGGTTCTCAACTGTCGTCACCAGCAGTTGTTGTTGAGCTTCCTATATTGACTGTGTCTAAATGTGAACTGTGCTGAATCATTCTCGCTGTGTTTGTGTGCAGCACCTTCCGCCAGCAGCCTCCTCCACGGCCTAAGTTTCAGTCTACAGGAGATAGTGACCAAATCCCCTAGCCTGCCCACTACAACAGCTAGCATGGGCAGCATTCAGGTACACCCTGGCCTCAAAAACCTGCTAAAAGTATCCTTGTGTCTGTGTGAGCTGACTCATTGTGACTGACTGGCTCTACCTCTCCTCTCCCCCTAGGCCCCCGGTGGGAAGCCCCAGGGTCAGGTTCTTAACTCCATAGGTACTTGCAGCAGCACTCTGCTCCGGGCAGTGCCTGTGGTCTCCACTGGAAGGCTGACCAAGACAACCGCCATCCACCAGCTACTCACCAACAGCGGGCTGGCCAAGCTGGCGAGCAGCCTCCCCGGCCTGCCACACATCTCCACCCAGAGCGCCGGTACGTCCCGAACTGCCAAACCACGGCGGCCACGCTGAATGCCTAGGGTTAACTCCTAAACCCCTTGTTTCGGGAAAGCTAGAATAGCAGGATGGGCCCTATCGCCAGGTCACTTTGGCCACACTACAGATGGGTGACACATATAGTGGACAGCATGATCAATATGCAGATAGTAATCTATGAGAATCCTAGGTGTTGTCAGTATCTGAAAAGCCAGACTTGCAGCCGTGTAACATCAAGTGTACAGATTTGTATTGTAAGGGATGTGTTTTTGTATTAATGTTCATGTTTGGAAAGAGCTGTAAGGAGAACATCAATGAATAACATGATCCAGGGGGATGTGACATTGGAATTAGAAGTTTAATAGTTATTGTTTCTGTATCAATGGAAGTCTGCGCATACAGTGAGGGGAAAAAAGTATTTGATCCCCTGCTGATTTTGTGCGTCTGCCCACTGACAAAGACATGATCAGTCTGTAATTTTAATGGTAGGTTTATTTGAACAGTGTGAGACAGAATAACAACAAAAACATCCAGAAAAATGAATGTCAAAAATTGTATAAATTGATTTGCATTTTAATGAGGGAAATAAGTATTTGACCCCTCTGCAAAACATGACTTAGTACTTGGTGGCAAAACCCTTGTTGGCAATCAGAGGTCAGAAGTTTCTTGTAGTTGGCAACCAGGTTTACACACATCTCAGGAGGGATTTTGTCCCACTCCTCTTTGCAGATCTTCTCCAAGTCATTAAGGTTTCGAGGCTGACGTTTGGCAACTCGAACCTTGAGCTCCCTCCACAGATTTTCTATGGGATTAAGGTCTGGAGACTGGCTAGGCCACTCCAGGACCTTAATGTGCTTCTTCTTGAGCCACTCCTTTGTTGCCTTGGCCGTGTGTTTTGAGTCATTGTCATGCTGGAATACCCATCCACGACCCATTTTCAATGCCCTGGCTGAGGGAGGGAGGTTCTCACCCAAGATTTGACGGTACATGGCCACGTCCATCATCCCTTTGATGCGGTGAAGTTGTCCTGTCCCCTTAGCAGAAAAACACCCCCAAAGCATAATGTTTCCACCTCCATGTTTGACGGTGGGGATGGTGTTCTTGGGGTCATAGGCAGCATTCCTCCTCCTCCAAACACGGCGAGTTGAGTTGATGCCAAAGAGCTCGATTTTGGTCTCATCTGACCACAACACTTTCACCCAGTTCTCCTCTGAATCATTCAGATGTTCATTGGCAAACTTCAGACGGGCCTGTATATGTGCTTTCTTGAGCAGGGGGACCTTGTGGGCGCTGCAGGATTTCAGTCCTTCACGGCGTAGTGTGTTACCAATTGTTTTCTTGGTGACTATGGTCCCAGCTGCCTTGAGATCATTGACAAGATCCTCCCGTGTAGTTCTGGGCTGATTCCTCACCGTTCTCATGATCATTGCAACTCCACGAGGTGAGATCTTGCATGGAGCCCCAGGCCGAGGGAGATTGACAATTATTTTGTGTTTCTTCCATTTGCGAGTAATCGCACCAACTGTTGTCACCTTCTCACCAAGCTGCTTGGCGATGGTCTTGTAGCCCATTCCAGCCTTGTGTAGGTCTACAATCTTGTCCCTGACATCCTTGGAGAGCTCTTTGGTCTTGGCCATGGTGGAGAGTTTGGAATCTGATTGATTGCTTCTGTGGACAGGTGTCTTTTATACAGGTAACAAACTGAGATTAGGAGCACTCCCTTTAAGAGTGTGCTCCTAATCTCGGGTTGTTACCTGTATAAAAGACACCTGGGAGCCAGAAATCTCTCTGATTGAGAGGGGGTCAAATACTTATTTCCCTCATTAAAATGCAAATAAATTTATAAAATATTTGACATGCGTTTTTCTGGATTTTTTTGTTGTTATTCTGTCTCTCACTGTTCAAATAAACATACCATTAAAATTACAGACTGATCATGTCTTTGTCAGTGGGCAAACGTACAAAATCAGCAGGGGATCAAATACTTTTTTCCCCTCACTGTATGTCAAATGTAAATGTTCAAAATGCTGACATGAGAATCTGTGAATGGCATGTTCATATTTGCATGATGTTGCTTTGAATACATGGAACTCTTGATGCAAAATTGATGTCACAAGAATTGTGAGCCCAAAAAAAGAATGCATTTTAATATTGACTAAATGTCACATGACTACAGATGTCAATGGCCCTGTTCAGACTGCATTTCTTCACAAGATATGTCCACTCGGTAAAGATGCCTTTTTATATTTGTTTCATTTTGTTTGCTTGGTTTTCATGTTACAATATTAATTAAATCACCTGCAAGCTGCAGCCATACTTCCAGATGCGCACAAGGACCCACAGACTCACTTTGGCGGGAGTAGGAGTTGAAGGCAATAATATTCACATCCGGCATACCATCTCTGTTTCTATCATTGCAATAAAGACTGGAAAATAACCCATGTTTATATTCCACTTTTTTGATAGAGAAATGGGTGTTGCTGTAAAGATATCCAAGTCGTCCACTCCTTCCCCAGGATTGCTGTTGTCTTTGATTGCTTATTATTTTGTAATTCTGTGCAAAGTTCGAACCTGGATGAATCATTTACGCTAAGAATAAAACACGTTTCTTTACATACCCCAGTAGAAATCCTGTATATACGGGAAGATCTCAACTGTAGATGCCCAAAGCCCATTTGAGGAGGTCAGAGGAAAGGGACCTCTGGCTTTCTCATCCAATGGGTTTTGAGAAGCAGAGAGGACGCGAGGAGTATGCAATTGAGATCTTTCATCCCTACGTCTCTTGACATGGACTGTTCTCGTCATTGAGAAAAGCAAGACATGAAAATATGTCCAAAACACCAAATACGCCCTTGGGCACTTAGTTGTATTTGAATAAATATTTGATCTGATTTAACACTGCTGGACACTCGCTATTCAGGAATGTCAGTTGGAAAGTTGCCTGCTTTGCTGTGTCTGAGGGACAATTCTGTCTGAACTAGGCTTGACACCCAGATCTAGTTAAAAGATCTGAGTAGATGTGTAATCCATGCCATCACTGTTTGTTGGCAGCAGGGCTCAGAGCCCCCACCGCTATAACGGTGACGCTGCGAGGACAGCCCAGCAGAATGACTGCACTGGGCCAGGCTGTGGGGGGCACCGATGCTGTCCAAACCACCTGATATGAAAGTCTGTCTCCTCACAAACAGCAAACATCTGTTAACTTTTCTATCACCATTTCTAAAATGATGGATTGTTATCAAATATCCTCTATCCACTGAGTGTACAAAACGTTAGAAACATATTGGAACAAACATTAGGAACATATCTTAATATTGAGTTGCACCCCCTTTTGCCCTCACAACAGCCTCAATTAGTCGGAGCATGGACTCTACAAGGTGTCAAGAGTTCCACAGGGATGCTGGCCCATGGTGACAAATGCAGGTGTTCTAAATGTTTTGTACACTGTGTATATAGTATTTTTCAGTGATGACCTAATGATGATCGTGATGACTGAATCATGCCAAATGAGATGCCATCATCCTGAACGGGGCTATGATCTGACTCTTCAGATACAGTGGGGAGAACAAATATTTGATACACTGACAATTTTGCAGGTTTTCCTACTTACAAAGCATGTAGAGGTCTGTAATTTTTTATCATAGGTATACTTCAACTGTGAGAGATGGAATCTAAAACAAAAATCCAGAAAATCACATTGTATGATTTTTAAGTAATTAATTTGTATTTTATTGCATGACATAAGTATTTGATACATCAGAAAAGCAGAACTTAATATTTGGTACAGAAACCTTTGTTTGCAATTACAGAGATCATACGTTTCCTGTAGGTCTTGACCAGGTTTGCACACACTGCAGCAGGGATTTTGGCCCACTCCTCCATACAGACCTTCTCCAGATCCTTCAGGTTTCGGGGCTGTCGCTGGGCAATATGGACTTTCAGCTCCCTCCAAAGATTTTCTATTGGGTTCAGGTCTGGAGACTGGCTAGGCCACTCCAGGACCTTGAGATGCTTCTTACGGAGCCACTCCTTAGTTGCCCTGGCTGTGTGTTTCAGGTCGTTGTCATGCTGGAAGACCCAGCCACGACCCATCTTCAATGCTCTTACTGAGGGAAGGAGGTTGTTGGCCAAGATCTTGCGATACATGGCCCCATCCATCCTCCCCTCAATACGGTGCAGTCGTCCTGTCCCCTTTGCAGAAAAGCATCCCCAAAGAATGATGTTTACACCTCCATGCTTCACGGTTGGGATGGTGTTCTTGGGGTTGTACTCATCCTTCTTCTTCCTCCAAACACGGCCAGTGGAGTTTAGACCAAAAAGCTCTATTTTTGTCTCATCAGACCACATGACCTTCTCCCATTCCTCCTCTGGATCATCCAGATGGTCATTGGCAAGCTTCAGACGGGCCTGGACCTGCGCTGGCTTGAGCAGGGGGACCTTGCGTGCGCTGCAGGATTTTAATCCATGACGGCGTAGTGTGTTACAAATGGTTTTCTTTGAGACTGTTGTCCCAGCTCTCTTCAGGTCATTGACCAGGTCCTGCCGTGTAGTTCTGGGCTGATCCCTCACCTTCCTCATGATCATTGATGCCCCACGAGGTGAGAACTTGCATGGAGCCCCAGACCGAGAGTGATTGACCGTCATCTTGAACTTCTTCCATTTTCTAATAATTGCGCCAACAGTTGTTGCCTTCTCACCAAGCTGTTTGCCTATTGTCCTGTAGCCCATCCCAGCCTTGTGCAGGTCTACAATTGTATCCCTGATGTCCTTACACAGCTCTCTGGTCTTGGCCATTGTGGAGAGGTTGGAGTCTGTTTGATTGAGTGTGTGGACAGGTGTCTTTTATACATGTAACGAGTTTAAACAAGTGCAGTTAATACAGGTAATGAGTGGAGAACAGGAGGGCTTCTTAAAGAAAAACTAACAGGTCTGTGAGAGCCGGAATTCTTACTGGTTGGTAGGTGATCAAATACTTATGTCATGCAATAAAATGCAAATTAATTACTTAAAAATCATACAATGTGATTTTCTGGATTTTTGTTTTAGATTCCGTCGCTCACAGTTGAAGTGTACCTATGATAAAAATTACAGACCTCTACATGCTTTGTAAGTAGGAAAACCTGCAAAATCGGCAGTGTATCAAATACTTGTTCTCCCCACTGTATGTAGATATGGGTTAGTGTATGTACCCCCTGCCCTTATGTCTACTCCCACCCCAATACAGCAGAGGAACACTGCATTACGTAAAGGATTCATTCCCCATGGTTTGAGATGACTAGCTGTGTAGTGGATGAGTCTCCATGCTGCTACAGGCACTCCATCAGCCCAACTGCCACAATATGGCAGTATGTTGAGAGTTGAGGGCATAAAATATTGAAGGTATTTTGTCACATTTTGTAATCCTCAGTTAGCATCATTGAAAAGGATTGCCCTAACAGTTTTTTCTATATGCTTTGTTCTGTAACTCTTTTGGCTCCAGTTGGGTCAATTCATTTATAATTTGACCTCCATCTCATGGGAGGAATTCTATTAGGTGGTCTACATCTAATATTGTTTTTTATTTAAAGCTTTTTGGCCTGGCAATATGTTTGAAAAAATATAATGTGGTGCAACATTGATCGTTTTTATTAATAGGTGGACTACTCCTGTGTTGAAAATGTGTATTTACAGATCACAAATATTTTACTTTTAAATGGAACAAGAGCGAGGTGAGAGAACAGTGTGGTTCTCTCTGTGAGCCCTTACCTTTCAGCAATGTAATCAAGAGAAAGAAATCCACCTTGCCTTCACCAAACTGTAATTTTCAAAAGGTGTTGGTCAAAATGATTATTTAGGTTGTTATAACAGAGGTTCACCATAATTGTGAGCTTTTCATGTAAGTTTGAATAGCTCATCATTGGCTAATAGTGAAGCATTGAACAAGCACACCATTATCTTCATACCTTATTCTTCTGTACTGTGTCTTCATTACACACATGGGTAACGGTCAGACAAGATAGAGGAGAGTGTGTTTTAGGTTTTAGCTCTTATATAAGCCAGGCTTTGTCTGTGATAAAGCCTGGCTTATATTGACCAACACCTTTTGAAAATTACAGTTTGGTGAAGGCAAGGTGGATTTCTTTCTCTTGATTACATTGCTGAAAGGTAAGGGCTCACAGAGAGAACCACACTGTTCTCTCACCTCGCTCTTGTTCCATTTAAAAGTAAATATTTGTGATCTGTAAATACACATTTTCAACACAGGAGTAGTCCACCTATTAATAAAAACGATCAATGTTGCACCACATTACATTTCATCAGGATCTTTGTGTCAAAATTACACTTTTATTTAGTCAACACAGCTCCATCCTGTTCACTCCCAAATCACTGGGATGATACACATGACAACTCAACTGCTAACTCAGCAATGACAAATCAAACGCTAACTCAACTGTCTTTGCATACTGATCTACATGTTTTTGCAATTTTTTTAATTGTCTACATCCAGAGTTTGCACTTTTTTTTTTATTTCTTTTTTTTTAACCTTTATTTAACTGGGCAAGTCAGTTAAGAAGAAATTCTTATTTACAATGACGGCCTACACCGGCCAAACCCGGACGTCGCTGGGCCAATTGTGCACCGCCCTTTGGGACTCCCAATCACGGCCGGTTGTGATACAGCCTGGAATCGAACCAGGGGGTCCGTAGTGACCATTAAACTTTTGAAAGGATCATACAGATTTATTTAGCCAGGTAAATCATTGAGAACAAAATGTTATGCAGTTTCATGATAAATGGGTGTCTCACTCAATTCAAGAAAGCGTACAGTATTATATAGAGTCATTAGTGCATGGAACTCCGTTCCATCTCACATTACTCAAATGAACAGCAAACCTGGTCTAAGAAAAATACAGATAAAGCAACACCTCACCGCACAATGCCTCTCCCCTGTTTGACCTAGATAGCTTGTGTGTATGTATTGATATGTAGGCTACTTGTGCCTTAAGAAAATATATATATATTGATGTGGTTCTGTCCTTGAGCTTGTCTATTAATGTTCTGTATTATGTAATGTTTCATGTTTTGTGTGGACCCCAGGAAGAGTAGCTGCTGCTTTTGCAACAGCTAATGGGGATCCTAATAAAATACCAAAGAGGAACTGGTAGGAATGGCCTATGTTTGATCTTTTACATGTTTGCTGTCTTGAGTCATTTTTATTCAGTTACATGTTTTCATATGTACAATAATGAAATAATCAATCTTCATCATCTTTTGTGTTTACTTTTAGATTACAAATAAGTTGTGTTTTTCTTTGCAGGTAAGATGTTTCCATAACTAGTGTAAAATAGGATAATTCCATGTGTTGGCAACAGGTGGCGCTTAACTTAATAAAACCATTACTGTTTTAACTCTGGTTCTTAATGATACACAGTATAAATTATAAATCCCTTTTAATTTT